CTCTGAGGCTTAGCCTCTAAGTGCAGGAATACAGCAGCTGAGGCAGAGAGTGGTGACTCCAGCCATCAGACAACCAATACTTCTGTGAGAGGAGACCCTTGTCCCCATTTCTGCCTGCAAAGTTCCTTCTCTCTTACTGCTCTGGAAGCCACTTAGCTTAATCTCTTCAGTGATCGCTGAGGCAAGAGAGAGCTAAGAGACAGGAGAGTACTTTCTAGACAATTATTCTTTGTCTGTTTATATGAGGCAAGGGTGCATAACAGCCTGGCTGCCTTCATGTGGGGAAAGAAAAATACACAGAGAAAAACAATTATTTTAATAAACCCTACCAAACAAATATTGTGAAGTTATTTCAAGAAAATGTCATGAGGAAAGTCTTGGACCAAAATGTAATGGCAGCTATCTCTGAGTAATAAAATGAATTGATTTGTTTTGTTCTTTTGTTTCTAAATTTCATGAAGTATTGTTTATGATCTTTTTTATTATGGTAAAAAGAATATGTCATGGAATTTACCTTTGCAGTCGTGTGGAAGTGTGTGACTCAGTAGTGTTCAGCCCTCAGTATTAATCTTGTTCCGGACTCTCTCATTATCCCCTGCCACTCTCAGCTCCTGGTCACCTTTATTTCACTGTTTTTTTTATGAATTTGCATCGTGCTAAATGAAATGAGTCAGACACCTAAGACCACTTGTATATTTGGTGCTTGATGTCCAGCTTGTTTCAGCAAGCACAATGTTTTCAGATTTCATTCTCTTCTAAGACTCATTAATATTCCACTTTGGGAATAACTGGTTTGTCTGTCATTTGTTTCTAGACTTTCGGAGCTTCTCTAGCTTTGTAGTCAACACTGATGTGTAGGCATCTGAGTTCCTGTTTCAGCTGTTCCACGTCCATCCCCAGCAGTAGATCGTGTGGGTCACTTGGTGATTCTGTGTTCAACCTTTTGACGATACTCTAAGCTGTCATACAGTAGCGACATCATTTTACATCCCAGCCAGCGATGGTGAGAGTTCTAGTCTCTTGCCAACAGGCTATTGTCCGTGTTGCTTTGTTATAGACATCATGATGAGTATGAGGTGAAGTTTGACTTTTAACATCAGAAGAAGCTAATTAATAGTTTACAGCAACCAAGAATGAGGCGGTAATGTGTGTCTGGGTAGTGGCAACAGGAACGTAGCCCCTTATGAGCTTCTGCTCTTCCTAGTCCATTTTAAGACAATTTTTACTAGTTTTTTCTTTTGTTTTCCAAGATTTTTAAATGTTTAAAAAAACATTGTCTTAAAATATATGCTGACTGTTTTTTATTGTCTCATTTAATCTTGTGCCAAAGCTAGATGCTCACCTGCTCAGTCAGCCTAGATGGGTCTTGCAGCTCTTTCTAAACTGGAAGTATGTACAGGGCTAGCACAGCCCAGCTTGTGCCTGCAGCTTCTGTAGGCCAGATTCATGGAACACATACACATTTCTGTCCTGTCTTTCAGAAAAGAACCTGCAGGCTGTGTGCAAGGCAGGGCAGTTTAGGACTCATTGAAACTAAGAAGTCATGTAGGATTTTTTAAAATTGTTCTTGAACTTAAGAGTAAGTGCCCATGCTCACCGCTGCACACCTTCTGTAATTGGGTCTATCGACCATGTTTCTTTTACTTTTTATATAATTCAAATGGTGAAATCTGAGGACAATACAAATCATACCTGGATTTCAAAATACCTAAGAAGAGAAGCCATCAGGAATCTGGAGGGAGGAGGGATGTTTGCTGTCAAAGACAAGGAGTGTATCCAGCTATCAATACTTTCATTTGGCAACCAAAACAAGGAATCATTCTTGGTAGACTGATAGCTAAACTGCAACTCCTTGTACATGTCATGAAATTTCCCCAAAATTTCATTATTCGATTCTGGGATCTGACCTGATGCCCCAGAACTTAATATATTTAGACACTGAGTATTTTATTATTTTCTTAGGTTAATTATATTAGACGCCAGGATGAGTGAAGACCATTCTCTGGTTGTAGAAAGGGAAAGGACCATAGGGACCAGGGGATGTTTCCTCTCTGTTCTCTGACTTTCCAGTGGAATAAACTGACAAAACGTAAGGAAAGTGCACAGGGGAGAGCATCAACCCATCAGCGTGGGAGCCAGGCCCAGGGGTGTGGTTGCCCACTAGTCCCAGGGAGGGGAGGGAGGGACAGAGGCTTTGAGGAGCTGTGAATTATTACCAGGCAAATAAGACCTTGAATGAGCCCAAAGAGATGCATACTGTCCTGTAATGGAAGTCTGTCCAGGTAGGGTTATACTCCTCAGTCTTTCCCAGAGTCAAAAGATTATGTTCCCTTTTGCAGTCTGTTCTAAACACAGATAAAGTCCCAGGGGCTCTTCTTCCTTGTGGGTAAGCAGACAATAAGCTTCTCTTTACGGTAAATGGAGGCCACCACAGAAAACTACACTGGACACAATGTAGAGATCTATCCCAATTGATACATGTACATCACAGCTCCTGCAACATCAGGGAGCATCATGGGAGAGGGGGCAGGAATATTATAAGAGCCATAATACCAGGAAGTGTGCTGTGAAACACTAGCATAGGAAGGATTGCTAAACAAGACCTGGGCAACAGCAGTGTTGATAGGCATGCCAGTGAGGAAGTGGGACGTCTTAGGGGTCATCCCCACCCTGGACAAAGAGTTACAGGCAACTAGTGACTGCGGAGAGAGGGTGAGTTCTCATATCCCAGGGATGGACCCCCCAGTTAGTTGTCCAATCAAAATAGGCTTGAAACCACAAACAACAAAAATGGCCTCAGCAGGTTGTGTTTATAGATCTGTAAATACATAATGTATAACTAATAATCAGAGAAGAAGCTATTAATCTGAGAGGAGGAATATGGAAGGAACGGGGGGAAGGGACTTGAGAGGGGCTGGAGGGAAAAAGGGAAGGGGAAAGTGATATGTTTTAATTAAAAATCTATTTTAAAAATCCTTTCATTGAATACCATACAAAAAACTGCCGTGACATTTTTTCAAGTATGTTCTACACTCCAGAACAGTTTGGTGGGAACCTGTCAACCCACAGTGGTATAATCCTGCCAGTTATTTTGGTCATGTGGTCATGATGGCCTGTAACTGGATATAGCAAGAGCCCAATTTTGGATCATGCATTACCAGTTTGCTTAAAGAGGGAGTTCCGCCATATTGACATCTTTCAGTCAAGGCTAATGGTGAGGTCCCAGTCAAAATTCTGGATATGGACGTGCAGGTGAGTTTTCTTGGTTGGTAACACTCTAAGCACATTGCCAGCATTGGACTCCTCTCTCAGGAAAACAAAACAATAGCAACAACAGAAGAGTCAAAAGATAGGGGCTCATTGCTGGATTCTGGCTTTGTCATGACCAAAGGTAGCTGGCAGAACATACCTAGCCTTAGTCTGGCAGGTACCCTTTGGAGTATTTCTGGGTCTCCAAGGGAGGCTGGTTACAGCAATACACCTAGCCAGGAACTACAACAGCAGCTTTGTGTTTGAGTATCTAGACTTCCCTGTACTCTGCCTGGCAGATTCTGCTGTGTGTCCTGACCCTGTGATAAACATAACCACAAGTGTAACAGTTTTCTGGAGCTCTGGAGGTTGTCCAGCAAGCTTCCCTTCAGTCGAAGGGTTTGGACACTCTTCAACTTACAACTAGTTTTGGAAGTTCAGGGGACTACTGTGTCCTCAAATCTATCAGGTTAATACTGGGCACTAGATCAATGAGAGAAAAAGATCAATTCCTTTTGCTGTTTCTAAACACAACTGGATTTCTCTTTAAAAACAAAGTAAGGAAACAAAAGTACGTACCTTACCCCCTTCCCCCAAAAGAAGTATCCAGCGGAAAGATTTTAGTAATACAGAGGATAAGAAGTCTTGGAGTGTAGGGTGGGAAAGTCTGGAACTCAGAGCTTAAGAAGACTTGCATGAAGTCAGCAATTGACCTGGGTCTCAACACAAGAGAAACAAAAATGTGCGCACACCCACACACAAACATTCACACACGTGCTGTATATGAAGTTACACCCTGCCGTAGAGTTTACTAAATTAACTCGGTGAGTGTGATGGTGGTAGTGAGTACCACGCACACTAGTGGAGGCTAGAGGACAACCTCCAGGAGTCTTCTCTCTTGTGGGCCGCTGGGTGGTCACATATTTTCAGGCTTCATAGCCAGAGCCCTGACCTGTTGAGCCCCGGAGCAGGGTTGTTTGTTTGTACGTTTATTTTGGGAGGAGGGGGTGGTGAGCAAAAGGTGATGAATGAAAAAAATGTGATCCAGCCTACAGTAGGATACTACCGGCAGTAAAAAGAAATTAAATTCTGTTAGGCATATTAAGGAAGAAACTTTAAAGCTTTATGCTAAGTCAAAGAAGCCAGCACAACAGATGGCATATTATTAGAACTCCATTTGTATTAATAGGCGAATCCAGAGACAGCCTTGTGATTGCCTATGACTGGGCACAATTGAAGAGAAAATGGGGTGGGTTTAACTAACTGCTAATGATTACAGGAGTTCTGTGGCGGTCGACAAACTGATTGTGGCGATAGTTAGACACTCTCTATACTAAAACCACTTTAAATCGGTGAATCGTATGCTCTGGTACGCAAATTAAATCTCCGCCACCACGGCTTGTGTTCGATTGTATCTGCCTTGGTAACAAGGTGAACACTGTCCTCATTGAAATACAATCAGCACAACCCCAAGTCAAGGCGCACAGCGAAAGTAAACCCTGACCGTTTTCTCAGTGCTCCAGGAATTTACGAACTGGAACCTCGGATTTCAGAGTGGAATCGCTGGACTTTGGCACTAAACAAGATCCGGAGATCCGAAAACCGCCGTTTGCAAACCTCCCACGACGTTGGCGGGAGGGCCCACGGTACCCACACGGAGCCTGCGCAGCCGAGTCCCGACGCTGGGGGGCGCGGACCCAGGAGCCAGTCCGAAGGTGGAGGCCGCCCCGCCCCGCCCCGGCTCCTCCTCTTCCCCTCGCCGCCGTCCCGCCCTCGCCCGCAAACCCAAACACTCTGGGTGCTAGTGCGCGTGATCTGCCTGTGGTCGTTTGGCCGAGAGATGCTGCTGCTGGCGGCCGCCGGCCTCGTGGCCTTCGTGCTGCTCCTCTACATGGTGTCGCCGCTCATCAGCCCCAAGCCCCTCGCGCTGCCCGGTGCGCACGTAGTGGTGAGTGGCCTCCTGTTGCTCTTGCTCGCGGCTGCTTGGCGGACTTGGGCCACCGAGGCCACGGTCCGTGGAAGGGGTAGTCGAATGGGAAGGCTCACCTGCCGCCGCCACCCCGGCACTGCCCTGCCCTTCCTGGCCTCAGGAACCCGTCCACGGCGGCGCCTGGCTCCTCCCTGGGCTGCAGAGCAGTGCCGCGGAGTAGGTGCCCGCCGAGGTCCCAGGGCTCCGGGGCTCTGTGCTGCTCGCTCATTAGCGGAACTGTTTGGGTCTTCAGTTCTCCCGATGAGTCAGTCCACAGAGAGACTGAAACTTTGCCAAGGACACAGCGGTCGGTGGCTGGCAGGATGAGGGCGCGAATCCGAGTGGGAGCAGCCACTGCCAGGGAGTCCTAAGGAGCCCGCAGCAAGGAAGGGTCCAGGCCTCTGGGACTGGGCCAGGAAGCTGAGACTGGAGGGTGAAATGTGCAGGTGACCAAGGGCCAGAGGGTTCTAGGAAGTGACACACCTGAGGGTGGCCTGGCAGCTTGGGCCAGCAGGCTTGTCTCTGAGTTCAGCCGCGGGAGCCTTGCTGATTGCTGCTCCGATGTAATCCTTTATAGTCTTTCCGGAGTCTGAAGGATGAGCTAACCAGCTTAGTTAGGGCCTTAAGATGGAAGGAGACAGACGTGAGTAGTTTGGTTTGTTTCTGGCCGGAAGCTCGCACATTCCTAATGTGCAGGCTTAGTTATGCCTCTTCCCCCAAGTTGAGAGCTTCAACCCTGGCCATGTCTTGTATAGACCGCAAAACCTGAGGCACGCTGAGGCAAGGAGTTGTGAATAAGAGCAGATAGTTTCTAAACTGGCACTATGCATCCCCTGAGTGCCCATAGATGGCTTATGTGAATGTAGCCAAGTGAGTTCTCACTCCACTGATACGGTGGCTATTTATTTTAGTGTGCTTTATCCCATACACGGGTTTGTGGGTGACAACATGTGTTTCCATTCATTTATCCTTTGTAAAATTATTAGTTTTTCCCGGCTGCTGTTGTGTGTGATGCGGAAGGAGTTATTAAAAAGAGAAAGCCAGACTTTATAATCATGCCAAGTTTTGAAGTTTTTCATCCACAAGAGAACTGCTTCAAAATCATGGCTAAAGAGGTTACATTTAAGGGCCGGGGAAATAGCTCAGTTGGTACAATGCTTGCCAGTGTATCAGGTTCCGAGTTAAAGCCCCCAGCACCCACACAGACACTGGGCCTATGTCTGTAACCCCAGCACCAGGAGGTCACAGCACCAGGGCCAAGACCTGTGGAACCCTGGAGGCCACTGATCAGCTTGCCTGTACACACGAGTGGGCTCCAGGTTCAGTGAGAAACCTGTCTTGAAAGTTAAGGTGGGAGGCGTGTGAAGAAACATCAGGCATTGGCCTTTGACCTCTGCACAGGTGTGCCTACATCCACACCAAACTGAATTATCTCACAACTTGTGCTTGCAAAGAGTAGCTCAGCTTGGGGCAAGGAAGAAGAGCTAAAGTCAGAATGAAACTTTTGACCAACATTTACAAGGTACTTTTAACTAACCTTGATATTGTCCTTCTGTCCCCATTCCCCATCTCTTTCACGGGTTAGGTAATGGCTGTTTCAATAGACAATAAGATCTTATTCAGCATCCTATTTTAGTACAACAAATTATATATATATATATATATGTGTGTGTGTGTGTGTATAAAATCTCTATGTACAAATGTATGTATATCACTATAAATGATGCGGCATGGAATGAATTATGCATATGATGTCACCATCTGCCCTTTTTTAATAACCCGAAAATAGTAAAATGTGATTTACTTGAGACATATTATCAGGAGAGGAAGCCATACCCTACACTGTCCACCCGTGTGTCAGCATGAACAGCCGTACCCTGCACTGTCCACCTGTGTGTACCCTGCACTGTCTGCCTGTGTATCAGCCTGAACAGCCGTACCCTGCACTGTCACCTGTGTGTCAGCCTGAACAGCCGTACCCTGCACTGCCCACCTGTGTGTACCCTGTACTGTCCACCTGTGTGTCAGTGTGAACAGCCGCACCCTACACTGTCCACCTGTGTGTCAGTTTGAACAGCCGTTCCCTTCACTGTCCACCTGTGTGTACCCTGTACTGTCCACCTGTGTGTCAGTGTGAACAGCCGCACCCTACACTGTCCACCTGTGTGTCAGCGTGAACAGCCGCACCCTACACTGTCCACCTGTGTGTACCCTGTACTGTCCACCTGTGTGTCAGTGTGAACAGCCGCACCCTACACTGTCCACCTGTGTGTCAGCATGAACTGTGTGTCAGCATGAACAGCTGTACCCTACACTGTCCACCTATGTGTCAGCGTGAACAGCTGTACCTTACACTGTCACATGAACAACTTGTACTTAATTTGTAGGACAGTTCTCATAGGCTGCTGCTCTGTCGCTGCAGTGAGGCTGTGCAGTTCCATAGGCTGCTGCTCTGTCGCTGCAGTGAGGCTGTGCGGTTCCATAGGCTGCTGCTCTGTCGCTGCAGTGAGGCTGTGCGGTTCCATAGGCTGCTGCTCTGTCGCTGCAGTGAGGCTGTGCGGTTTGTCTTCTCGCCCTTAGGTGCTTGTTTCAGTGTTCATTCATTCAGTCATTTTCGGATGACGGAGAGTGGTGCTCCCAGCAGCAGGCGAGCTCGTAGTGCCCATAGTGAGAGCTGTGTGCCGTGGTTAGCGAGAACGAGAAGGGATCGTTTGCATGGGATTCGCAGTGATCGGTAAGAGGGAATGTAAGGAAGGAACATTCAGCTGTTACCTTTAGTGCCCTCCACCCGCTTCTAGTTAGCAGTTGTCAGACGACGACATTTAACATTTTCTCAGCCATTGTGAAAGCTCCGATAGGTCTCATGGCATCCAGAATATCAGTCTAGAGTTAGCCTAACTGCATTCTCACAGGTCAGCCAAGAAGTCACTGGCTTGGCTAGAACATCATTTTTTATGCATGCTGATCTAAAACCCAGTTCTTACTCCTGTTATGGACAGCTTTATAAGTTGCAGGGCATGGATCTTCTCGTTTTCTTTGAATTGAATCGACACCATTTGTGTCCTGAAGCTCCTGGCTGATATTTACACAATACTTTGGAGCATAAAGGTTTTCTTGGTAACCTCATTTCCACTTCATCAATTTACTGAACAATAAATAGGTATTTTTTCATGGGAACGGCATAGAGAACGTTCTGCACATTAAGGAAAGTGTTTCTTTACCTGCCTGAGTGAGGGACTGGTATCGCCAGTGATGAGTGAGATGAACTGGTTTGGGATTTATTCACAGGAAACCAAGACGTATCCAGATAGCTGTGAAAGGTACGTGGTGACAAACCAGGTAGGGACGTGTAAACTGAGTTCTGCGGGGACAATAGGGGTGACGTGTGACAGAGGGGCTAAACAGCTAAGGCAGCATTGTGAGGATATTTTAGAGGCCCTGCCAAGTGCCATGAAGAGTGAAATTTAATAAACCAAAACAGCTCATAAAATATCCGGATATTAAAAGCAGCCTCAAAGACAACATTTAGCCAAGGCAACAGGTATGTTTTTATAGTAATCCTCAATAGACATTTGGTTAATTATCTACCAAGTAAACTTGTCCATTAGAATCAAGGTCAGGCTAAAGAGAAATGAGGTATTCTCAAATACACCGAGATACATATCTATGCTCGGAGGGTTTCATGATATGAACATTATAGTGTAGGAAATGCTCTTTCTGCGTGGCTTCAGAATAGTAAAATATTCACAGTAATCCAAATGTATGACTAGGTTTTGACAGAGGGGGATTTTGTTTTGTTTTTGAGACAGGATCTCACTATGTATCCCTGCTGTTCTGAAATTCAGTATATAGATTAGAATGGCTTGAATTCAGAGAGATCTGCCCACCCCACCTCCAGAGTACTAGGATTTAAGGCAATCACCAATGCTCTGCCTGGCCTTGATAGAGCGTTTTAAATGAAGTATTGTGAAGCCGTTTAGTTTTTCAGCATTGACAGTGTAATACGAGTGCCTGCATCTTCTCAAGGATCGAGCCCAGGGCCTTGCCGTGTTAGGCAAGAGAGCTCTATGACTGGCCTTCGCCCTGTCACGTGTTTTCGTGGACCTAGTCTGGTGATGATGCACAGTGAGGAAATGAGATTCGTTGCATTTATAATCAGCAGCACTAGCGCATTCTTTCTTAGCTATAATTGTAGGGCACGTTTCTCCTGGTGACCTCAAATAATTCTAGATGGGTGGTTTGTAGCTCAGCACTGGAAACAGTCAGAGCAGGAGGCTTTGTGGAAGTATAATCCTTCCTTCTTGCACTATTCCAAATGATACATCTGGTAAAGAGGTTGTAGTTCTTGCAGGTTTTGTGGTTTGTTTTGTTTCTGACACAGGACCTCATGTAGTCCTCGTATCTTGAAACTGCCCATGCGAAGGGTGTCAACCTTAAACTCATGATGACCTGTGAATACTGAGTGCTAGGCTTGTGGGTGAGTGCCACCACATCCAGCTTGTAGATGAGTTTTTAACCCCTAACTAGGTTATGTGATATATGTTACATGGAGCTCAGACCCAGGGCCTCATGAATAGGGCCTGCAGCTGAGCTACACTCCTACTATTCCCATCACAGATGTTTTAAGTAGACTTTGCGCAGGTGCTAAGATGGTCTCATGGGTGTTCTTTGTAGGTCACAGGAGGTTCCAGTGGCATCGGAAAGTGCATTGCTATCGAGTGCTTCAAACAAGGAGCGTTTATAACTCTGGTTGCACGAAATGAGGTAAGTGGTATAAGGTCCTACTGACTAACTTACTAGCACAGTAAGTTCAAGAGACTGTCTTGGTGCTCACTCCTGTGCTGAGATGCCTTCCTCCCGATCTAAGGCACTGTTGCTTCTTTCTTGTATTGAGGCCAAGGACTTCTCTGCTGAAGTTGGATCAGCTCAGCAGGGACTTATTACTGCTGTTGACGTCCCAGGCACTATCATTCCAGGTAGTCCTGAACTTGAGGGGAGAATGAAGGCATTGATAAGGAGCTATCTGGCCCAAGGCAAACAGGTGTGCTGGTGGTGGCAGCTTAGAAGGTGGTATGTAGGTGCTTTTCTATCGTTTCTCTCTGTAATTTGCTTATGACGTGATAGGCATCTTTGGTGGAATCCACATGCCCCAGGTGAGTTTCATCCCTCCAATATGTATAGCAATGTAGTTTTTCCTGTGTCTAACCAATTCAGGGGGCTATTTTTCTTATTTTTTTTTAAGATTTATTTATTTATTATGTATACAACGTTCTGCCTCCATGTATGCCTGCACGCCAGAAGAGGGCGCCAGATCTCATTACAGATGGTTGTGAGCCACCATGTGGTTGCTGGTAATTGAACTCAGGACCTCTGGAAGAGCAGACAGTGCTCTTTAACCTCTGAGCCATCTCTCCAGCCCTGGGGGGGGGGGGGCTGTTTTTCTTTATATTGGAGGTCCGTAGTCTTGCCAAAGCAGTGACTGAAACCCTTCTGTTCCTCTTCAGGGTCTGGGGATGGGCAGTGGCATGGCTGTATGTTCGCTGCTCTGCCTGGCTTGTAGAAGACCTAGACAGTTCTGTTGAACGTGGAAACGAAAGGAGGGGCTTGGCACTTGTGTGCCTGGTTGGCTGAATGCTTCCCTGGGGTGTGTGTCAGCTCCAGGTAGAACTCAACGAGAAGTGCAGGCCTCTGACTGTTGAAGTTCAAGGTCACCTTCATCTAGACAGCTAATTAGAGGCTAGCCTGGCCTACAGGAGACCCTTTAGGGAGGGGAAAGAGAAAGAAAATGAGCTGTGGTGCCTCTGCCTGGGCAATCAGCTGCCTAGGTAGGGGTGCTTAGTTGAAAAGGCCTGGTGGGGAAGGCCGGCCAGACAGGATCTCTGGAGAAAATACATGAAACTAATGACCCAGAATTAGGCTAAAATATCAAGTTTGTTTTTAAAAAGAAGAAAGTGCTCTGCTTAGTTATACACACTTTAGAGTCCCCTAACATGAATAGAAACACGGGTGTAGTGCAATGCCACTTGATGTGTTTTAGTTTTAGCAAGGCTGTGATTTGGCATGAGAACAGCGAAGGAGCAAGTGGGAGGCCCGTACCCCAGCTAGCGGGTGGGAGGCCCGTACCCCAGCTAGCAAGTGGGAGGCCCGTACCCCAGCTAGCGGGTGGGAGGCCCGTACCCCAGCTAGCAAGTGGGAGGCCCGTACCCCAGCTAGCGGGTGGGAGACCCGTACCCCAGCTAGCGGGTGGGAGACCGGATTCCCAGCTAAAAAGGAGCTCACACGGGGCCATGTTTGACTGAGTACATGAGAGCTTTCTAACATGAAGACGTTCTGTGTGGTTTTGCATATAATCTCTCCAGGAATTATGTACTGTCTGTAATCAGTCCCCAGCATTCAATAGGATGTATGATTTTGAAGTGACATTCGTGTTTGTAAACTTTGCTTGTCCCTTGAAGATGCCCCCCCCCCCTTCATGAGACAGTCTCTTGTGTCCCGCTAGCAGATTGTGGCCGTGGCCGACTTCTGATTGGCCCACCTCTATATCCTCTGGTCCAATGTTACTCCAGGCTTGGTTTTAGCCCTGCTGGGTATTAATCCCAGGGCTTCCTGCGTGCTGGGACCTTACCCCTCTGTTCTGTTACAGCTCTCAAATTATATTTAAATCTATGAAAAAATAAGGTTCTGTAAGCTCAGGTCTGTTTTTTTGAAACTAACAAAACAAAATGGAGGACTTGGAAAAACTTCACAATGTTCTGAGGAGTATTTTTGAAAGTACCCAAACGTGTATTATCCAGACCTTTAAAAGAGTAATTGCTTCTTACTCTGCTCTTAAGGAGAGGAGGAAAACACTGATTTGCAGTACATAGGCCGTCATACGCCTTTAACTGATTTACAGTACATAGGCCGTCATACGCCTTTAACTGCCAGAACATTGGATTTGCAGTACATAAGCCGTCATACGCCTTTAACTGACTTACAGTACATAGGCCGTCATACGCCTTTAACTGCCAGAACATTGTGTCGCTGTGTCCCTGCCAACTGCTGTTAGCAGCCATGGGCCGACAATCGACATGAGTGCTGTTAATTCGGATCTGAGTTCATTTACTTTTCTTTCATCTCGGCGATGAATTTAAACCTTGCCGTGACTTACCCATAGTGTCACATGTTTTTCCTTTCTTTCTCAAGCCCATCGCCAGCTACTCTGGGTTATAGTATCTGTTCCAACAGTTACCTTTTCTTTCCTTTTTAGCAAATCAGACAGCATAATTTTTTCTGTATTGCTTTTAGGACAAGCTGCTGCAGGCGAAGAAAGAAATTGAAAAGCACTCTATTAATGATAAACAGGTAAGGTGGAGCCTTAGGATTAATTTTCTATCCTGATTGACAGTTGTCTAAAGGGGAAGAAGGGTACTTTTGCAAGGAGATCACTGAAGGCTTTTTTGACTTTCCCAATTAAAATACATTTTAGGCTGCCTTTTAAAGAGGTAAAATTATTTACAATGGCTAGGATTTGGGTTAGTACAGAAACCAAATGACTAACAAACAAACAAAAATAGTTTGAACAACTGCTTAGGTGGACATATGAAAAATTAGTTGTGTAATTTGGGGTGCCAAAATGATATGCACTGCATGTATATCTTTATGTGTAGCTCAGTGACGGGCTGACTACTGCACAGCCATCATCTGGTTTAAAGAAGGGGGATACAATGGAGTTTCTGACCCCTTCTCCCCCAGCCTTGTGCCCAGTTCCAGCCAGCCTCTTCTTAGAGAGTACTTCAAACTCGGCTTTGATGTTGTTCACTCTTTGCTTTTCTTTAAAATTTTGTCATCAATGGTAGTGTGTGTGTCCCTAGATAGTGTTTAAGGGCCTTTCGGTGAGCCTGGAGCACACAAATTCACTAGACTGGCTGGCCAGCAGGCTTGGTTGTCTCTACAGCCCCAGCACTGAGAATCCATGGGGGCTGAGGCTCCAGGACTCAAGACCTTACTCTTGCATAACTAGCATCTTGACAACTAGCCATCTCAACCCCTAAATAGTAAACATATATATGTAGTTATATTTTTATATATTCATATTTTAAAGTTCTTTATCTTTTAGACCTTTGGCATTGTTCTTGTTCTCTTATCTTGCCTTCATGAGACTATTCACACAGTGTGCAGTTGCAATGTTTAAGACACACGTTTCCTGAGTTTTTATACAGAGTTGTGCAACTATACCCACAATCAGTTTTGGAATGTTCCAGCACTGAAGTCTCCATTCCACTGTTAGCAGTCACTCCCTATTCCTGCCCTGCTCCTACTGGGCAAGTGCCAATAAACTTTATAGTTTAATAGATTGATATGATATTGTAACATTTTTATGCAGTGTTATGCAACTTTATTTCTTTGTTCTATATTATTTTTAAAATTCATCTGTGCTGCTGGATAAAATAGCTCATGTGTTATCTTCTTTTTTTGAGATGGCTGTTTCTTTGGCTATGCTGTCCAGGCTAGTCTCAAATCCCAAGGCTCAAACGATTCTCTAATCTCTGCCTCCTAACTAGGCATGCATCATTATACCCACCTTCACTAGAATGTATTGTTATTGTCATATAATATGTAATTGTATGCACAAACCACTTTTACTTATCTGTTTGTAGTAGGTGACTAAGATGCTTCCACATTTTCGTGTTTGTTGCTGTCAGGCAGCTTTTCAGTGTGGTCTCCTTGTGCACATGCTCAAAAATGACTATTGCTTTGGGCTGTGTAACAAGGCAAAAAAGCAAGGTTGCTCATCTCTTAATGGCTGGGAAATGGGGGAGGTGGTCCTCAGTATCCTCTCTACCCTTCAAGGACACACCTCAGTGGTCTAAATTCTTTGTGTTAGGGCCTGCCTTTTAAAAGTTCTGCCAGCTGCCAATAACAGCACAGACCAAGCACCAGAGATACAAATTTAGTACCAGACTTCCCAAATGCCTGCCTGTTTGCTGTGGCACCCATCACTGTCTCTCTTGCCACAGCCCCATACCAGCATATTATTTCGTAGATGTGTTTTTCCATTAATGGCACTGACAGGAGATTTCAAACACTGAGATTTTATGTCCAGATTTGACCTTCATTATTGGAAAGAGTTGGTTTTATTTTAAAAAATATCTTTTACAAACAGTTTTGATAGACCAAGCATGTGGTGTACCCTTACAGCCTTGTAATCTCAATATTTGAAAGGCTGAAACAGGAGGATCGCTGTGAGGCTCAAGCTATGTTGGGCCATATGCTAAGTTTAAGACTAGTTCACACTATGCAGCCAGACCCTGTTGACAGAGGTTTCTGTCCTGCCTGGTCCTGCAGCCATTCAGTACTAAAGAAATGCACAGAGGTCTACATTAATTATAAACAGATTGGCCTATTAGCTCAGGCTTCTTATTAACTCTTACATCTTAAAGTAACGCATAATTATTGTTAGTGTTAGCCACGTGGCTGGTACCTTTTATCAATGAGGCATTCTCATCTTGCTTCCTCTGCATCTAGATGACAACTGCAGACTGAGCCTTTCCTTTTCCCAGAATTCTCCTGTCCTGGTTGCCCCGCCTATACTTCCTTCCTGGCTACTGGCCACTTAGCATTTTATTAAACCAATACAAGTGACAGATCTTTGCAGGGTACAAGACCATTATCCCACAGCACTCCCCCCCCCCTTTTTTTTCAAAACAAGAACTCTGAATCTAATCTACTTTGCTTAGCTTTCTCCCTGATCATTCTCTCTTTCTCTCTCTCTCTGGTTTTTTTCAAGACAAGGTTTCTTTGTAGCTTTGGTGGCTGTCCTGGAAATAGCTCTTGTAGACCAGGCTGGCCTCGAACTCACAGAGATCTGCCTGCCTCTGCCTCCCAAGTGCTGGGATTAAAGGTATGCACCACCACTGCCCGGCTTCTGATCATTCTCTATAACAACTTGTAATCAACACTGTAAACAAAGATAAACATCCATAATCCATTTTTTGGGAATGTGGGCATAGTTTTCTAGGCTACTTCCTGATGATTGGAGGTACTGATAATTTTATGGGGACCTAAAGAAAATTTAGGATTATGGTCAAGTCCTGACTAGAATTATCTGTGATGCTTGATCATCTCAGCCAGAAATCTTGAGGGTGTTCTGGATGTAGAACTCAGAGGACGCTGAAATGTTGGATCATCTATACCATCTGCTCCTATTAGAGATTTCTCAGGGGGACTTCCTTGATCAAACCTGATTTTTATTAACCCAGAATGAATCCACAGCCTCTCATTTCCTGTGAAAACAAAAGCAAAAATCTCTTCTCCAAAGTAACATATCTTTTGACTTAAATTCTGAAGTCAAGACATTTTCAAAATATATGTGTTGGATTAATCCAGCAGGATTTATAATCAGATGTCTTTTAGCAGCTGTTGCTCCTTCCTCAGTCATCGAACCTTTCAAAGACAATACAATAACATACAGTATCCAGATTCTCTGTATTTTCCATCTTTATGTGGCTTTATTTTAAACTCTTTTATTTTTATTTTTAATTTTTTTTTTTTAAGGCAGGGTTGCTCAGTGTATCTTTGGTTGTTCTGGAACTCACTCTGTAGATCAGGCTATCCTTGAATTCATAGAGATCTGCTTGCCTCTCCCTCCCAAGTGCTTGGATTAAAGATGCGAGCCACCTGCTGGAACTTTGCTGGTAGGCCATGACCGTGTGGTGATACACAGATTAATGGAGATGGGTTAGTTTAGGATATAAGAGCTAGTTAGAAATACACTTAAGCTATTGGCCAAACAGTATTGCAAACAATATACTTTTTGTGTGATTATTTCAGTTCCAGGCAGCTGGGAATGAACAAGCAGCCTTCGTCAACAAATTGGCATACCAATGTGGTCTGAAATACGTAAGGCTGATGCCCACCACCCACTTTAGGTCTAGATGCTTGTGTGCTTAATAGGGGTTGGGGAGAAAGTAACTGATACCACTCTGCCTACATTGGTGCCATGGTTTCTTCTGAGAGTTGCAGTAAAAACTGTGGCATCTTTAAAAACTATAGCTTCTTGGTTCGCCAGCACGAACAGCTCTGGCTCTTTTGGGAGGTCCAGCTACAGAGCATTTTAATGGGGTTTGTGAGTAGAGTGCTACAATTTGCTTAATGGCAACGGAGACCTACTGTGTGCTTGAAAATGGGGCAGTGTTCATGGCTCTAAGAGACACGGAACATGCCACTGCCCTATTGGAGTGGGTGGAGCCAAAAGTCCAAGCGGCCTTAGTCCTAACCATGCTGCTTTGCACTTTAAGAAGTGGTCCTAATCAGAAAAGGATTGCAGACACACAATAAAGACAAATCTAGATGGAAAAGACCTCTAAATAGGTCAAAGTGTTGGATAAATGTACCTAGGCTTGAGAGAGAGGAAAAAGAGACTAGACAGTTATAAGAGTACGAACAGCCACAGGTTAAAGTAGTAAAGATAATAAAATAAACATTAAACTTTTAAAAAAAGTAATAGAGTAAGAAAAATAAGCCCCCTAAAATGGAATATATACAAAGAGTCTGGGTTATGTATATTATTGTGCTTTCTTTGAATTTTTTGACTGGGAAGGAGCTAAGTACAGAGAGACATTTCGTATGGGCTGCTAAGATAAACCAACATATATACTTTAAATGTATCTTGATTTCAAAATTTGAGTCTAAGGATTTGTTGTTTTGGAAAAGAGGTTCTTCTTTTGTTTCTACAGAGGATGAGAACCTATGGATTTCCTCCAGGCTAATGTGGTGTGATGGACCAAGACCTCCCCGAAAGGTCACTGTGAATACCCCCCAAAATTACTTTGCCCAACATAAAGCAGGAAGCAGTTTGGAGAGAACTATGCCCAAATTCCCCAAATATTGCTTATAAGTGTTTGTTTACATTTAAAGGGGGGATATGCTATAAAGATTTTCATTGGTATGGATCTTGGTCTTTTGATACAAATTTTAGGTCAATTTTTGGATGTTTATTTCTGTTCTTAAGGTATTTTGTTTGTGCAGCTCATTTAAAAATACAATGTATAGTTAAGAAATATAGGTTAATAGATAATCTATAATAGTCAAACTTATAGTCATGTTAGGTTTTCTAGCTATATAGAGATCTATTTCAGATAGATAGGTATTCTTCAGATATTTCAGAGACCTTCAGAATATGGCATGTAAAATGTTTTAAGAGCTTAGGACTTTTCATGACAATGAGACATGTCTGCTCCTGGCAATACCAATAACTTCAAGAGGAAGATGGGCATTGAAGAGGCTCTTTATAGATGGAGTAGGTTAGCCATTTGGAGAAGAAACTGCTCTTGCCTGGACTTCTTGATGTTATTTTGTATGAACTGGACATGCAGGGCCCACAGAAAAATGACTGCTGAACTTGCCTAAAGGTGAGATGGTCAGGGTTGCTGCTTCATGAAGGATTCTGCAAGACATTCTGCAGAACACAGAAGAAAGTGACTGACAAACTGCCAATATAGGTGGAACTGTCTTTGAAATTTCCTGTTTTATGAAAAAGTTTGGGATATCATGGGCCTGTAGGCTGAAGACAGATGCTCCAGTGATACAGAAGAACTTTGGGTGACTGTCCAGGCATCAAGATGTCTCTGTCAATTGTAGAGTTTTGGAAGTTGATTACAATGCACTTCCTGTTAACTTAGGTAATATTATAATATTATACCTTCTGGAGTCTTTGATGGAGTTGAAGAATAGACAGTTCTAGTTTTTTTTAGTTATGATAAAAGATAAAGTAGATATAAATATTGTAATTCTTGCTTGATACTTGTTATATGCCATCTTGCTATGTTAAAGTTAAAATCTTCCTTTTAATTTAGACAGAAAGAGGACGTGATATATGTTGTGAATATGTTTTATTGCCACTGGTTAATAAAGAAGCTGCTTTCAACTAATGGCTTAACAGAATTTAGCCAGGCTGGAAGAGATATATAGGCAGAGAGTAGGCAGAATCAGGGAGAATCCATGTAGCCGCCAGAGGAGAAAGACATGAGCTGTTAGTTGGAACCTTGCCGGTAGGCCACAAACATGGTAAAATATAAAATAATGGAAACAGGTTAATTTCAGATGTAAGAGCTAGCCAATAAGAAGCTAGAGCTAATAGGCTAAGCACTGATTTAATTAATACAGTTTCTATGTGATTATTTTGGGTCTGGGAAACAGGGAACAAACAAGCAGCCTCCGCCAACAAGACCCTGTCTCAAAAAACACAAGTTTTGACACCTCTGTATCCAATATTATTTTTTACACTTATTGTGTGTGAGAGCAAGAGAGGGGGACAGAGAGAGAGAGACAGACAGACAGACACACACACACACACACACACAGAGAGAGAGAGAGAGAGAGAGAGACAGAGAGAGAGAGAGAGAGAGAGAGAGAGAGAGAGAGAGAGAGAGAGAGAGAGAGAGAGAGAGAGAGAGAGAGAATAACTTGAAGATGTCAGTTCTCCCTTTCCACCATGTGGGTCCCAGGAATAGGACTCAAGTCATCAGACTTGGTGGCGAGCAACCTTACTGATAAGCCTCCTGGCAGGCCCTGAACCCTTCCCTCTTTTTCCTTTTTTTTTTTTAACAGGTGGTTCTTTGTATCTCAGTCGATGTGTCTCAAGACTATAACCAAGTGGAGAATGTCATAAAACAGGTAAGAGGCTATTCAGGTGATTCCAGTTCAGTCCTCGACTTCTGAGTACTTCTTACATTTTGGTGACTTGGAGCTAGCAACTCTTTCTGCAGGTTCAGTGGTTCAGTGGATTTTATTTATTGACCTTGTTTTTCTACACAGTGACTCTTCCATTCTGTCATGTAATGTTTGAAACAGTATGTAATGTTCTGGACTGTTCTTCCAGGCACAAGAGAAGCTGGGTCCTGTGGACATGTTGGTTAACTGTGCAGGAACATCTCTGTCAGGAAAGTTTGAAGAGCTTGAAGTTAGTAGTTTTGAGGTAAGTGGCAGGTATTTCTTTACCTGGAATCAAGATGATGTAGCTTCTGTTTTAAAATAGGCCCACCAAGAATCTCAACTACTAATTTACTTTAGTACCGAAGAAATGGACATTAGATTTGAAATCTAAGTACAAAGCATTTTGTGGTTGGCAATCCATCAGTCTTGTTTTTAGTGTTCTCTTAAGCTTCCATTAGGATAATGGGGCTTGAAATCTTGACTCTGTTAAGTTAAATTACTCTCTTTTCTTAAAGAAAATAAGACTGTTAGACCAGCATTAAGGCTATCTTTTCATAGGCTCTAGGAAGTACCGTGCACTCACAGATGCACTCAAGACTTGCAGGACAATCAGAGGGTAGCAATAAGCAGAAAGGTAGGACCTGCATTTCCGAGGTACCATTATCAGCTTGGTATACAGGAGAGTTGTTTATACTTATGTACGTTCATATGGGAACAATGACAGCGAGATTTGAAAGATGACATCATCAGCTATGTAAATAATCAATTTGGGAAAATCGTTGTAGTCTAAATATGAAATAGTAAAGCAAAAGACTTGGGGATACCCAGAAAAAGAGGAATGAGTGTGTGGATTTGTATATATCTGTGTGTTTATCTGATTTGTGTGTGTGTGTGTGCACATGTACATCAGATGATGCTGTAAGAATATTCAGACTCTACTGCGAAAAGGGATTAAAAACTGGATTGAGGAATAAATAGTTACTAAATTGAATGCTGAGACACCAGGAAGTAAGGTGTGGAGTAGGGGGATGGGCGTGTTTACATTTATGTCTCAGATAGCCATGCCAGTGTAATCACATGGGTGTTTTATGAAGCTTTGAATGGAAATAGAAGCAACTGAGTGTGCAAATCTAGGCCGAGTATTTGATGTTGTCACTGAAGAGACACAGCTCATGACTGGGGTGATTCAGTTGGTCCCATGTGGCTCCTTTGGGTGACATTTCTGATACTCTACCCGCTTCATTCTGGCCTTCACTCTGATGCCTTTTTCCTCTGCAATTTTGCCTGTAATCCTTCCCTGAAATAAATCCTCTATTGCTATATGCTGAGGACTTTGAGACTTCAGTGAATGACCAAATCTGGCTTGGTCTCAAGGACCCCTATACCCTTCTCTTTATTCTCTTTTTAATGATTTCCTTCTGAGTTTCCTGGAGGCGTATCTTATCTTTACCTGTGCTGTGAATGTTGGATCATCTTTTGTTCTACCAGAATCACTCCTTCATGTATGTTTTTGTTTCTTCAGAGAGGCTGGTATTATGTTTTGTGTTGGAGGCTTCCCTGGGTGTCTGTTGACCCTTGCCTTTGTTTTCATATTGTACTGGATGGAGAGTTCTGTGTCCATGGGTGGAGCCCTCTGTAGGGTGATGGTTTGTCCATGTCTTAGGGGTGCTTGGAGTCCAATGTGGGATGTCCTTGTGTATATTTGTTGTTTTTATTGGTTGATAAATAAAGCTGTTTTGGCCAATGACTTAGCAGGGTAAAACCAGGTGTGAAATCCAAACAGAGATAGAGAGAGTAGGCGGAGTCAAGGAGATGCCATGTAGCTGCCAGATACCAGAACCTTACCAATAAGCCACAGCCTCATGACTATACACAGATTAATAGATATGGGTTAATATAAAATATAAGAGCTAGCTAGAAATACGCCTGTTGGCCAAAGTGTTGTAATTAATACAGTTTTTCTGTGATTATTTGGGTCTGGGCAGCCGAGAAATGATCTGTTTACAAATGGTACCCACTGCTTGATCAAGGAAGACCCCCTGAAAAATCTCCAATGGGAACAGATGGTTCAGATGATCCAGCATTTCAGTGCACCTCTGTCACAGTTTCTTCTGAGTTCTACATCCAGAACAGCCTCAAGACTGCTGGCTGAGATCATCCAGGTTCACAGAATACTCCAATTAGAACTTGACCATAATCCTAAATTTTCTTTAGGTCCCCATAAGATTATCAGCACATCCAGTCATCAGGAAGTAGCCTAAAAATCTACGTCAACATTCCCAAAAAATGGATTATGGATGCTTGTCTTTGTTTAGAGTGTTTGCTACAAGTTGTTATAATGGTCAGGAAGAAAGCTAAACAAAAGAGATTAGATTCAGAGTTCTTGTTTTGAAAGGAAAAAAGGGGAAGTGCTATGGGATAATGCATTTGTGTCCTGTGAAAATTTGTCACTCATACTGGTTTAATAAAACACTGATTTGCCAGTATCCAGGCAGGAAGTATAGACAGGACGATCAGACCAGGAGAATTCTGGGAAGAAGAAAGGTTTAGTCTGCAGTTGTCACCCAGACACAGAGGAAGCAAGATGAAAATAATGCACTGAGAAAAGGTACTAAGCCACATGGCTAAACATAGATAAGAATTATGAGTTAATTTAAGTTGTAAGAGCTAGTTCATAATAAGTCTGAGCTAATAGGCCAAACAGTTTATAATTAATTTAACCCTCTGTGTGTTTCTTTGGGACAAGGCGGGACAGAAACTTCCATCTACAGGGGTCAGTATCTGTAGGTCTTTCTAATTTATCCAAAGCCCCAGAGAAGTGACCTAGGCTTCCGCCTGGGAAATGGCTGCATGTCCCACTGTTAGAATGGAGTCTGCATTCAGTGTCTACAGATATGTTCTAGGTACATTGAAGTCTAACTCACTTAATGTATGTCAGTCCTTTCTAGAAAGTTTGTCTTCTGCCAGCAGGATACCACTAAAATTTAACTGTTTTTTGTTGTTATGTCAGTTTTCAAAAAGTGAACTGAAACCCGTATAAATCACAGAGGTATGTTTGTTTAAGACAGCATGTCACTGTGCACACCAGGCTGGCCTCTTGCACTTCTGCCTCAGCTTCCTAAGCGCTGTTATCACAGGTCTCTGTCATCTGTCGCCTGGCAAATTTGGCTATTTGAGAGTCAACAATTTGAAGGCGTTTATCATATTGTGATGTTGTTTAGTCATCTAATGCCAAGACATTTTTGTCTCCCCAAAGGATACCCTGCACTGTAGTCAGTATTTCTCATTGCCCCAGACCCTGGCTACTGCTAACCTGTGTGTGTCTTGCTGACTGATAGAAAATGTGATGTATCCCTCTGGCATCTGGCTTCCTTCACATAGCATGGCGTTCTCAAGGTCCCTTCATGCTGTAGTATATCAGTGTGTTGTTCGATTTTCTGGGTTGTGTGGCATACTGCAGTGTACTTGCTTGTTTATCATCAGTGAAAATTTGGAATCTTTTTACCTGGCCTAGCTCCATCCTAGAAGCCTTTGGGGTTTGTGTTGTACAATCCTGCCTTTTTAGTTTCTCTGTTGCCATCCAACATCCAGTGTCTAGTCTTGCCACTTGTCATTCTGATCTCCAGCTTTCAGGATGCCCTTGCTTTTCCTTTCATTTTCTTTTTGTTCTCTTAAAAAGGTGGGGGTTGAGCTGTTAGCTGGGCCTAATGGCTCTTACCTATAAGCCCAGCTCTTGGGAAGCTGAAACAGGATAATAATCATGACTTTGAGGCCAGCCTGGGCTATGAAGTAAGTTTCAGGACAGTCTAAGCTACAGTGTAAGACCCTGTCTCCAAAACAGACAGACAGATTAGCATACTGTTTACTGCTATTTTAGTGGGTTCTCTGGAAAGAGCGGAGGTGAGCACATGCTCTTATTCTTTCTCTGGTATGGGGCTGCAGGAATGGCTCGGTGGTTAGTGTGCTTGCTGATCTTGCAGAGGACTCAGGTTCCCTTCTCAACACTCACCCGATAGTTCACATCTGCAACTCTAGTGCCAAGGAATCCAGTGCCCACCAGGCACACACATATATACACACAAGACACCATATATATATATATATATATATATATATATACATATATATATATATATCTTTTAAGATGAAAACAATGCTGTGATAATAAAGCATATTCTGGAAACAAGCAGAAATCCTAATTTCTGAACACAGTAAATATTTTCTGTTTTTCTTGGCATTTGCAAAATAAAATAGTGAGAATTATGGTCTACATAGCTCCTGCCTTATACTTTTTAAAAATTATTTATTTATTTAATTTTATTTTACATTCCAACCACAGTTTTCCCTCTCATGCCTCCACCTCCCACCCCATTCTCCCCACTTCCCCCTTAAATTACCCCTGATGCACTCCTGCCGAAGGGTAAGGCCTCCAATAGGGAGTCAGCAAAGCCTGGCACATTAGGTTGAGGCAGGACCAAGTCGCTCTCCCTGCATCAAGGTTGAGCAAGGTATCCCATCATAGGAATGGGTTCCAAAAAGCCAGCTCAGGGGTACATGCACCAGGGATAGAACCTGGTCCCAATGCCAGGGGTCCCTCAGACCAAGCTACACAACTGTCTCCCACAGGCAGAGGGTCCACAGCTGTCGGTCTAGAGTTGGTGAGTTCCCATGAGTTTGGTTTATCTGTCTCTGTAGATTTCCCTGTCGTGATCTTGACGCACCCACCTTGCTCATACATTCTCTCCTTCCTCTCTTCAACTGGAATCCTGGAACTTGACTGGTCCTTGGCTGTGGATCAGTGCATCTGCTTCCATCAGTTACTGGATGAAATATGCTCTATGATGACAATTAGGGTAGTCACTAATCTGATGACAGGGGAAGACCAGTTCAGGCTCCCTCTCCACTATTGCTAGGAGTCTTAGCTGGGGTCATCCTTGTGGATTTCTGGGGATTTCCCTAGCATTGGGTTTCTCCCTAATCCCATAATGGCTCCCTCTCTCAAGATGTCTCTTTCATTATTCTTCCACTCTGTCCCTCACCCAACTCAACCATCCCCTTCCCTCATGTTCTCATTCCCCCATCCCCTCCCCTGTACTGTCCCCCCACCCTTAGTTTACCCAGGAGATCTCATCTAATTCCCCTTCGCAGGGCAATCATATACCCCTCTTAGGGTCTTACTATCTAGCTTCTCTGGAGCTATGGATTATAGTCTGGTTATCCTTTGCCTAATACTCACTTATGAGTGAGTGCACACTATGTTTGTCTTTCTGGGTCTGTGTTACCTCACTCAGGATGATTTTCTTCTAGTTCCATCCATTTGCCTGCAGATTTTATAATGTCATTATTTTTTTACAGCTGAGTAATACTCCCTTGTGTCCTTTGGGCATATGCCCAAGAGTGGTATCACTGAGTCTTGAAGTAGGTTGATTCCCAGTTTTCTGAGAAACCGCAAAACTGATTTCCAAAGCGGCTGTAAAAACTTGGACTACCACTAGCAGTGGAAGAGTGTTCCCCTTACTCCACATCCTCCTCAACATAAGTGGCCCTCAGTATTTTTTATCTTAGTCATTCTGACAGGTCTAAGATTAGGTATCTCAATTGTTTTGATTTGCATTTCCCTGTTGATTAAGGATGTTGAGCAATTCCTTAAATGTCCTTTGGCCATTTGAGATTCTTCTGTTGAGAATTCTCTGTTTAGCTCTGTACCCCATTTTTAATTTGATGATTTTGTATTTTGATGTCTAGTTTCTTGAGTTCTTTATATATTTATATGTGGGGCTGATAAAGATCTTTTCCCATTCTGTAGGTTGTCATTTTGTCTTATTGACAAAATTGTCTTGCCGTATAGAAGCTTTTCAGTTATTGATTGCTCTCAGTGTCTGTGCTACTGGTGTTATATTTAGGAAGTGGTCTCCTATTCCAGTGCATTCAAGGCTACTTCCCACTTTCTCTTCTGTCAAGTTCAATGTAACTGGATTTATGTTGAGGTCTTTGATCAACTTAGACTTCAGTTTTTTGCATGGCAATAGATAGGGATCTATTTGCAATCTTCTATATGTTGACATCCAGTTATGCCAGCACCATTAATTGAAGATGCTTTCCTTTTTCCATTGAATAATGTTAGTTCTTTGTCAAAAATCAGATGTTCATAGGTGTGTGGATTAATGTCAGGGTCTTCAATTCAATTTCCTTGGTCCACGTGTCTGTTGTTATGCCAATACCAGCTTGTTTTCAGTACTGTAGCTCTGTAGTAGAGTTTGAAGTTAGGGATGGTGATTCCTCCAGAAATTACTTTATTGTATACGACTGTTTTGGCCATTCTGGATTTTTTGTTTTTCCATATGAAGTTGAGCGTGGTTCTTTTGAGGTCTGTAAAGAATTTTGCTGGTCATTGCATTGAATCTGTAGATTGCTTTTGGTAAGATTGCCATTTTTACTATGTTAATTCTACCTATCCAAGAGCATGGGAGATCTTTAGTACATTTTCTGGTGTCTTCTTCAATATCTTTCTTCAAAGATTTAAACTTCTTGTTAAACAGGTCCTTCACTTGTTTGGTAGAATTACTCCCAAGATATTTTATGTTATTTGTGGCTATTGTAAAGGGTGATTTTTTTTTCTCAACCCATTTATCATCTGTATATAGGAAGGCTACTGATTTTTTTAGTTAATCTTGTATCCTTCCATGATTAAAAAAGGTGTTTATGAGTTGTAGAAGTTCCCTGGTAGAATTTTTGGGGTCACTTATGTATACTTTCATATCATTAGCAAATAGTGAGAGTTTGACTTCTTTTCTGATTTGCCTCCCTTTATTTCCTTTTGTTGTCTTATTGCTCTAGCTAGGATCTCAAGAACTATACTGAATAGCTATGGAGAGAGTGAACACCTTTTCTTATTCCTAATTTCAGTGGCATCACTGTGAGTTTCTCTCCATTTAATTTGATGTTGGCTGTTGGCTTGCTGTATATTTAGATTTTTTTCTCTCACTTCTTTATCCCCACTTCTTGATGGACAGCCAGCTTAAAGGACTACAGCCCAGTCACCCCAGGGTGTCATTGTGGTTTATGTTTAGGTATCCAACTGGGCTGTTTAGTTTTGCAAGATGACAGAGAGTAAGACTTCATTGTATAAAGGCGATATCGTGAGCGTTGTCACACTCTCAAGGTGAGCAAAGGTTTTAAGAGTGATGAGAAGCTGTGAGTGCCAATGTGGGCTCTTACCTGTCCCAGCGTACAAGCGGGTGCATACGGAGTTCTTACTGTCCACCAGGATCTGTGCTAGTGCTAAGCTTGTGTTTTCCCTCTTAATCCCTAATTCCAAGATTAACCCCGTTTTCAGCTGAGAAAATGCAGTGTCTGTTTCTCATGTGACAGCGGCACCAAGACTACAGCTCACATCTGTACTGTTATCTGGTGCCATTTTCTCTCTGTTATCTTTTCTTAGCTTGGAACTGATAGGGCTACAAATACTTAGAAGCTGTCTCCTAAAACTGTCTTTCAAAAAGTATTACCTTCAAGGACCTGGAAAAAAGCTTAGGGGTCAAGGATGTTTACCACTCTAGAATACCTAGGTTTGATTCCTAGCATCTTACACCTGTCTTTAACTTCAGCTGTAGAAGATCCGGTGCCCCTTTGTGGCCTTTGTGGGCACTGGACACATGTGGTATACATACTTATTTGGAGACAAGATACCCATACCTAAAAGTATCACTATAAAATGTTACCTACAATACAAAGGGTACATTTTCTAAGGAGAAAGCTGGTTTTGAGCATTTTTGTTTGTGCATGGTGAGGGCAAAGGTTGATGTTCACGGTCCTCCTCCATCTCTCTCCACCTTATTCCTGTCTCACCAAGAATGGAGTTCACCACACTGGCTGGGACTGTCCAACCAGCCTCCAGGATCTGCCTGCCTCCCCCTTCCTCTTTTTCCCAGTGCTTGGTTACAGATGTGTGCCCAATGCTCAGCACATCTTTTGTGAGGGTCCTGGGCATCCAAATGCAAGTCCTCATGCTTGGCATGGAAAACACTTTGCAAGCTGAACCCTGTGACCAGCCCTAATTTTGACTGTCACTCTAAGAATGGAAGACAGGCCAGACTAGTCTTCAAAAGGGTAGGTCCCCAGTGTTGCATGGTCTGCAGCGTCATTCGCTGACTCATGCACCAGTCTCTTTGGCTTTGTCTTAGTCACTGTTCTATGGCTGTGAAGAGACACCATGACCAAACAACTCTTTCAAAGGAAAATTTAACTGGGACTGGCTCATGGTTCAGAGGTTTATTCCGTTTTCATCATGGCGGGAACCAGACAGGGGTATAGTTCTAGAGCAGTGCTGAGAGCTTTACATCCTGGGACACACACACACACACACTCAGAGAGAGAGAAAGAGAGAGAGAGAGACACTGAGCCCCGTGTGGACTTTTGAAACATCAGAGCACACCACCAGAGATACACCTCCAACAAGGTCAGACCTATTAATCCTTCCTGACTATTCAACTAGGAACCAAGTCTACAAACAGATGAGTCTGTGGGGCCATTCTCATTCAAACCACCACGGGTCTCTGTTAAAGAACTTATCCTGGAAAGTGACAGAACTGCTTTTGAGGACATAGGCTGTTGACCTTGTTCCCACCTCGTGTGGCCTCTGTTCCTTGCAGAAATTGATGAGCATCAACTACCTGGGCAGCGTGTACCCCAGCAGAGCAGTGATCACCACCATGAAGGAGCGGCGGGTGGGCAGAATCGTGTTCGTGTCCTCTCAGGCAGGACAGCTGGGGCTGTTCGGTTTCACAGCCTATTCTTCGTCCAAGTTTGCCATAAGAGGATTGGCAGAAGCTCTGCAAATGGAGGTAAACGTATTTATGTTTGTATGTCTTCCTCGCAGATCAGTGTGAGCACTGTACTTTTCTAGCATCTTTGCCTGCATTGTTTGAATTTCACTAAAGATTTGGAAATCTGATACCAGTGTAAAGAAAACTAATTCAGTTGTAAGTTCTGGGTTTAACAGATCTTATTGCATAAAAATAATCTGCAGGACAGAGACAAAATGATTCTGAGTGCAGGGAGTTGTCTGCTGCATAGAGTCCTAGAGATGCCTTCCTGATACTGGTCGGCCTCTGCTTCAGTGAGCCAGGGATGCCGTTACATAGACAGTTTTCTTAAAGATCCATGCCGGGCGAGGGAGCTGGCTCAAAGGGTGAAATGCTTGGTACAGTGTGAGTACCAGAGTTTGGCTCTCCATTTGGACATGCTGGGTGGTGGTGACAGACTGCCTGTAATTCTTATGCATAGAAGGTGAAGACAAGGGCGCAAAGCAAGCTGGCTAGCCTAGTCTTATCAGTGTGAGTGCAATTGAGAGATCCCACCTCAAAGCATGAGATAGAGAATCATTCAGAAAAACTCAGCATTAGCCTCAGGCTCCTGCACACACAGTCTTAGTCAACAGAGCATGCATAACTGTGAAATTGCAGCCATCACTCTTAAGGACTCTACAAATAACCATTCTTCTTTTTTCTGTGTGTGTGTGTGTGTGTGTGTGTGTGTGTGTGTGTGTGTGTGAGTGTGAAGTATGTGCAGGAAGCTTCTTCAGGTCACTTCTTTTTGGAAGGGAAGTTGAGTTTTTAGTGAATTTGGTGAGTTCGTCAGATTCACATGGTCACTTGGTAACAGGAATAATAATACAAGGTTGACCCTGTGACTGCAAGCTTCCAAGTCCTGCCGCAAAGGATGCCTGTCATTCAGGGCAGAGTGTGGATGAGGCAGCTGCCTCATCCAGTCATTTCGGTTTTGGTCTCAGGATCCATGTAGGCACACGAGTTTGGGAGATAAAAATATATGCCCATATTCCCCCATGTCTGACAATAAGATATCATCTGGGTGCCCTGGTTTTCACTCCCGAGGGGACAGTAACACCACAGCTGGTCCAGTCCTCCCACCCTCCTGATGACAAGAGCGATTGTCCACACTGCTGGTGGCTGGACGGCGCTAAGTCTCCTTGACTCCTGTACATTAAGAGTGCTATTACTTAAATAAGCAAACAAAACAAAGAAGACTGAGATTTTATTTGGAGAAAATAAATTCAGTCTTTTGAATCCAATTTGTTCATAGTAAAACTTGCATCAAAAGATTTCCTTAAGATCTGTTTTTTGAAATCTGGATAACTTGGTCAGTTTTTATGAATAGTTGCTAAAATGCTTAATGCTCTGAGTAAATTTTTCAGTTCAATTAATATTTTAAGTCTTCTGTTTATCTCCCTGTTCCCCAAACTGGAGTAAGCCCCTGGAAATCTGGGCATGGTGTGTTTAATCGAATGCTTTGTTGGTATTTGGGATTGAATTTTCTTTTCCAGTCTTTTAGACACAAATATATTATTTAAAGATATTTTTAAAACTTGATCTTTTGGCAAGTATATTTATGAAATGGGTTATAGTCAGAGTTGTATTCAAGATTCAACCAAAACAACACAACAGCAAACCCCAACCCAGGTGCTTTTCCTGCTTCCTCTCCTGAGAATGTACAGCCCCTTCCCCATCTCTTTCCACCAGAGTGGAGCAGTAAGCTGAAGGCTAGAGTGTCTGCTTGGATGAGTTCTTGTTTTAATAGAACCAGGAAGAACAACTCTTAAGTGGATTTTTTTTTTAAATGATAAACTTGTTCTTAGGCAAGCCACACATTGTCTTACATGTTTGAGGCTGGTGCCAAGTAGAAGAGAGAAAATGGAATAGGATGGAGGGACAGAGCAGAAGGGGAGAAAATGGCCGTTCCGCAGGGGCAGGGAGAATCAGAATAGCTAGGCAGGCATCACACTTGTCATGGCTCAGAACTGAGTGTAACTTAATCTTTCCTTTTGGTCGGGTTATGATATGGACAGTTAAAGAAAAATGTGGGCATAAATTTGTATGGACTGATTTTTTTGCAAATTTTGTGAACAAGAATATCAGAGACCAGGAACTATATAAGATACAGATTCAGTTCATACCCATTCTTAGGGCTGTGTTGACACATCGTAGTAATTTAGTAAGACTTTGCTGGGTAAACAAACCAAAGACTGCATAAATGTCAAGTTGTTCGTCACTGGAAGCATCCAGCCATGGACTGGATTGCAGAGAGAATGCTAGCTAGAAATGGGATTGTCTGATTCTTTTCCACCTTGGTATTTACAGTTCCTTCCCATGAGAGAACAGTTCTAACTTTTGGTGACTCATTCATGGCCTTGAGTTGGAGAAACATTACTTTGAAAATCGTTTTGATTTTCATAAACATTACAATTCTTACTGTGGCATTTTGGGGCGGGGGCACACAGTAAGTTTGAGAAGGCACTGTCGGTCTTGATGAATTGGGGAGCACAGAGTAGGTCTGAGAAGCCAGTGTCAGTCTTGATGAATTGGGGGACACAGAGTAGGTCTGAGAAGCCACTGTCGGTCTTGGTGAATTGGGGGGCACAGAGTAGGTCTGAGGAGCTTCTGTTGGTCTTGGTGGATTTGGGGGCACAGAGTAGGTCTGAGGAGCTTCTGTTGGTCTTTGTGAATTTGGGGGGCACCGAATAGGTCTGAGGAGCGTCTGTTGGTCTTTGTGAGTTACCTAATTATCATTTACTCACTTTTTTTTTTTTTGAGCCATTTTTCTCTAGTCCTAATACAGGACCAAGCAAGACTACTAGAGAAAAGGTTTTATTTTATTTTATTAAGTTCCCAACTGAAAAGCAAGTGTGAGAGAAATCGCTTGTCATTGTCACAGCTGGTCCACTGTCTGGTCTGGAAGGGAGCTCTGGCTGTCAAGGCCAAGCCACGAACCCTCTTTCCCTGGCCGCACTGGCTAGGAGCCAGCCTTCACTCTTGCACCTACTCGACTGGCTGGCCAGCAACTGCTCTTTCTTTCTCTTGACCCATGTACCTCCCCTGAGGCCACACAGCTGTGTCACTAAGGGAACCTAGGAGATAAAGGGCAGGCTTCCTGTCCGTGGCTAGCCTTGTTGTCCCCGCTTCACCCCAGATGTCTTTATGAGGACAGAGACTTAAGTCAACAGCAAACAAAAGGATCATGCCAAAATGAACTTGATGGTCTGAGCCTTTGGATTACTAATATCCAGGTAAGAGGACAGGTAACAAGGTTGATGTTGGACAGTATTTGGAAGACTGTCCCCTGAAAAGAAGGTCCACTGCGATTGTTGGAGTGTGTTCATCAGTGGAGAAGTTGAATGGGAAGAGAAAGTAGGGGACGGACAAGCTTTGGAAGAGCCAGAGGGAGGTTGGGATTAGGCAGAATAGCTGTAGAGCTGATGGAGAAATTTTCTGGAACCAGGCATGGTGCTGCACACCTGTACTGCAGGCATTTGGGACATCTTGGCAGAAGGCTCACCAGTTGATAGTCTGGCCTTATGCAATAAGAGATCTTAGTGTCAAAGGGCAGAGGGGAGTTTCTCTATGTAAATACTGCCGAGGATGTTTGCAGTAGCGTTGCTTGACTGGTCCCACTTTGGGGATCCACCTGACACTCCATGGGTGGACCTCGCCACACCTGGGTTCGGATGCAGCAGTGGGCAGCAGGGAAGGCAATGAGACTCACAGTCTTCTGCAAGTGAAGTGAACCTAACAGTGTAGTATTGGAAGCAGCTTGAAAGGCAAAAAGACTTTGACCTTATAGATAAGGGTGTAGACCTGTGCCTCCTATTCCTGCCTTGAAACTCTGCTCACTTCATGGTGGAGTCTGAGTGAGCACACTGGTTAAACATGATCTGTCCACACTGGGCAGCTCCCAGCCTTTGCCTGGTCAGCAGGCAGGGAGAACCTTAGTAGGAGGTGGCTTGATGTACTTTAGAGTCGGGAATTCTTGCTAACCATTCCAAGTCATCATCATGGAGAGGTGTCCTTAGTGCTTTTGGTGGCTGTTGATTGGCAGTCCCCTCATGAGCCTGATGACCTTCCCCTTCTAAGACTCAGCACAGCTCAGACAAGTTAATGGATGAATACAAATGATCTATTTATTGACAATGCAAACCTTGTTTGTGACCAGGTGAAGCCTTACAATGTGTATGTCACTGTGGCCTACCCACCAGACACTGACACCCCGGGGCTGGCGGAAGAAAACAAAACAAAGGTTAGTATTCCTACATAGTTGTTTGCCTTCTGTGTCGTATGAGTGTGTATGGGATGTGTTTGGGGGGGAGGGTGTTGTGTGTGGGATGTGTGTTGTATGTAGGACATGTGTGTGATATGTGTTATATTGTATGGTGTGTGATGTGTGGTGTACATGTGATGTATGTTGTGTGAGTGGTAGATTGTATGATGTGCACTGTGAGTTTGTGTGTTATATGTATTGTGTGATGTGTGTAATGTATATTATGTGTGTTATGTGTGATGATGTATACTGTGTATGATGTGTGTTGTGTGCATTGTGTGTGATGTGTGTACATGTGTATGTGTGATGTGGGTGTAGTGTGTGTATTTGCATGTGACTGTGTGTGTGGTTATGCATGTTTGTGTGTGTTTGTGTTCTGTGATATATATATATATGATGTGCGTCTATATGGGTGTACATGGGTTTTGCTTGTTTAGGTTTGTGTGTCTATGTATGTACTGTGCATGTTTATGTGTGTGGGCTATACATATTTGAGTTTGATGTGTGTATATGTGTAAATTGTGCATGTTTGTGTGTGGGGATTGTGTGTGTTTGAATGTGTATTTGTGTGTGCACTGTGCATGTTTGTGGGGGGATTGTGCATGCTAGGATGTATGCTGGTGTGTTTGTGTTTATGTCAGTGTGTGTGCAGTGTGCATGTTTGTGTATGGGGAGTGTTGTGTATATGCATTTGTGTTTATGTCTGTGTGGGGATTGTTCATGTTAGGGTATGTATGTTATGTGTGTGTGCACTGTACATGTTTGCATATGGGGATTGTACTTGTTTGGATGTGTGTGTAGTGTGTGTACATGTTTGTATATGGAGATTGTATATGTTTGAATGTGTACATTGTGTGTATGTGCTTATATGTATGTCTGTGTGTCCACTATGCATGTGTTTGTGTGTGGGAACTGTTCATGTTAGGATAGGATATGTGTGTTCACTGTGCCTGTTTATGTGTGGGGATTGTGTGTTGGGATATGTGTCACGTATGTTTGTTTGCATGTATATATTGTCTGTATTATGATGTGTGTGTATTGTGTATGTTTAAGTGTGGGGTTTGTACATGTTGCGATGTGTGTTTCTTGCATGTTGGTGTGGGAGGGTTGTGCGTGTTTGATTGTGCAGGTGCATATGGACACCAGAGACCTGCCGTGGGTGTTCTTCCTCAGATGGTGTCCACTTTGATCTTGAGACAAGGTCTTTCACTGTCCTGGAACTGTTAAGTAGGCCGAGCTGACTGGCCTGTGAGCGTTGGGGTCCTCCTGTCTCTGCTTCCAAGGGCTAGCTTTGCAAGGCTGTGCCCATCCGGGGACAAGGCAAGCCCTTTCTCTCCCCAGCCCCTGTTCTGGTTTTTATGCTACTTCAGCTCCTGGCGTTTACCTGTTAGTGGTTCCTGTTGGGTCTTTTGGGTGCAGGGTGCTGAGCCAGGACTTGACCTCCCTAGGGTTCTCCAGGCAGATCTTTTGGGTGCAGGGTGCTGAGCCAGGACTTGACCTCCCTAGGGTTCTCCAGGCAGATCTTTCTTCCTTCCTCTGCTACGCAACCCCCCCCCCCTTTTTTTTTTTAAATGTTTAACTTAATTTTTCCCAGCTTTATTCTCTCATACATTACAGTTGTCCAGCACTGCTTGTGGTCTTGTCTCTCCCCACTTGAGATTTATGTTCCCCAGATGAAGCCGTTTCATCCATGTGTTTAAAATCAATACTTACATACATGTATCCATACACTCATGCATATGTTATACATATTACTTCTTACTGGGGAAGCTAATATGGAAGCCTCAGATCTACTCCCTCCTCCCTGTTATCTGTGATGGGCAGATTCTGGGTTTATATGTAACTATGAATATTAGCAAAGCCTGAGCTTCTCTAATGACACTTCCTTTCTTGCATGTGGTCATTTAACTTGTGTGCATCTGCGGCCCACTCACTGGGGACTACTGGATGTCCTTGGATCTGAACACATGGGGTTTCTTTTACTTTCATTGTCTTTCCTCAAAGCCCCTTCACTGGGACTTCCTGGCTAGACACAGGCCTAAGCTTGCCATTCTCAACACTCCACTCTTTCTGTTCCCTTTCCGTCCCTTTGTTGGACTCTGCCTTTCGCTTTTGTTGTTTATCTGCTCCTTTTGGTGGCCCTTCCGTCATCCCAGAGAAAGGTAGGTAACATTGGCTTAGAATTTGCCTTAATGAAAATGCTTCCTTCCTTTCTTTCTTGGTGCATGTGTGTTTGTGGTTGTTGCGTTTGATAGGTTGTTTTATTGGGCACAAAATCCTAAGTTGAAAATTGTGGTTCTCAAAGTTTTGCAGGCATTTCTCACTGAGTTCTTGCTCCTAGTGTCTCTGTGGGGGACCTTGTGACCAAACACCTCAGGAAAGCATCCTGACGGGGAAAGGTTTGCTTTGGCTCCACGTTCATGGTTTCAGAGTCGTCAGTCCACCAGGACAGGAGGACTCTGGGCAGAGCAGTTCATATTGCGGGAAGCAGAGGAAAGGGGAGAACTGTAGCCTCGGGAACACTCGCCTAAGGATCCACTTCCTCCAGCAGGCCCCACCTCTTACCTTTCACCTCCTTCCAACAACGCCATCAGAATGTGCCTTCCTCCTGACTAAGCAGCCCTCTGTCACACGCCCTGTCCCGCCCCGCCAGAGGTGTGCCTCCCTCTCCCAAGGCTTCTCTAGTTTGTTTTAGTGTATTGGTGGTGGTCTGTGTTTTTGAACCCTCTTCCCTTTTTATCTTTTTAAAATGTCATTTGATGTGAAATGCTCTTATTTCATACACTAGACAGTCATGGTAGCCCCTTTATTCTGTCAACTCATGAACTTCGTTCTGGAACATTTTCAATAATTTTCCCATGCAGAATATTTCAGTGCATTCTTTCTGGACTCTTGTCCACTTTCTGGTCTGATGGTCCCACTTCCTTCTCTTATTCTTGTTTTCTTTCTCCTTCCATTTTTCTGTTGAAATTTTTATTTCTACTGATTTATTTTTTAAAAAAGCTTATATCTTCTTCCTATCATGGGGTTGGTCTTAGCACTCTCTTCTATGGCTATGAAGAAACACCAAGACCAGCATAACTCTTATAAAAGAGAACATTTAATTGGGGCTTTCTTACAGTTTCGTAGAGTTAGTCCATTAATGTCATGGAGGGAGCTTGGTGCCACAAAGGCAGGCGTGGTGCTGGAGAGTGGCCGGGAGCTAAATCCTGGCCCATAGGTAGAGACCCTGGGCCTGTTGTGAGCATTTGAAACCTCACAGTGAGTCCTTTCTTTACTCCTGAGGAGCTTTAGTCTGGACAGTGGTTGGTTTTGTTCTTTCCATTTTACTCTCCCTTATCTGTTTCTTTACTTGGTTGCTACAGGCATGCGGCGCTGCACGTTAGTGATTGCATTGAGTGTGATGCTGAAAGGCTGGTTAGAAACCCTGGAGCCTCCTCCACTTTCTGCTTTTCCTAGAGGTGACAGGGTGGGGCATTCATTTCCTTAGATTCCCTCACAAGGACATCTACTCCCTTTTCTCATCCTTTCCCCAATGAGGAGTCTTGTGGTTGTTTGGGTTAAGGCTTCACCTCAGCCCCTGGAACCCCTATACCTAAAGAGTCTGGAATGTTTAGGTGGGAAGTTCCATGCTAAGCCAACTCACCTGGGAGTCGCCTCAGTCCAGACTCCACCTCCGAGAAAGCCAGCCAAATGATGACCCCTTCTCAGAGATGCTCGAGACCATGCCCACAAGTATTTAAACTGCCCCCCCCCCCCCCCCCCCCCCCTGGTTTCCCGNGGAAGTTCCATGCTAAGCCAACTCACCTGGGAGTCGCCTCAGTCCAGACTCCACCTCCGAGAAAGCCAGCCAAATGATGACCCCTTCTCAGAGATGCTCGAGACCATGCCCACAAGCCCCCCCCCCCCCCCCCCGCCAAGAACAAACACGTGGTTTCCTGGTCTGTCTTCCCCATCTCCTCTCTGAGGGCCTAGAGGCCACGCGGGAGCCTTAGTATCTGTTAAACCTGGGCTTTTTCTAATTCGGTTTGATTTGGTCTGATTCATATTGTTGCGTCAGCTGAGAAGTTTATCGGTGCATAAGAACTTTTCAGTGGTCTCCTGCCATCAGAGCAGTTGAGACCCTCCGTTTGATCTCTGAGGCCCAATCAAAGCAGGAGGTCTGGGGAACTCACTATTCCACACCGGATTTTGCTGCATTGTTCTGTTCCTGTAAGGCATCCTGTGTGTGTGTGGGGGGGGGGGGGGCTGTTCTAGAACCAAGGCAGTATACAAATACTGCTGCTCTGCTGCCCTCTGTGGGCCAAGGCTTGGATCTGGTTCTTCAGCCTCCACGGGGCGTCTATCCCATGTGGACATGCAGGTTCTATGGAAAGAGCTCAGGCTATCCTGAGCTGAGTGCAGGCTATCTCACGGGACATGCAGGTTCTATGGAATGAGCTCAGGCTATCCTGAGCTGAGTGCAGGCTATCTCACGGGACATGCAGGTTCTATGGAATGAGCTCAGGCTATCCTGAGTTGAGTGCAGGTGTTGTTCATTTGGCTCCTCCTCTCCGCCTTCCCTTTGCCTTGACACAGAGCAAGCAGATGAAGTGGTTGGAAGAAACCAATCAGAACATGCCAGCTCACCCCAAGGATGATTTTAGTTTTAGACAATTATTTTATATTTTCATTTTTTCCTCTAATATTGTATGTGGATCTCTGCAGCATAAAATTTGGATGTTTTTATAGTCTATTGCCTGTTTTTGTTTGGTTAAAAAAAAGATTTTGAGGTAGAAACCCACCCCATTTTCTTTTTAATTCAGCCATGTTTACAATTTCTTTGTTTTTAAAAAATAAATTGAAACTTCTGCATCAGAGATCTGCTCAGCAAATTTTCAGTACTTGTTGCAGAGTCCTTTAGTTTGAAGCTAAAGCTAAAGAAAGTGGTAATTTCTCCGAGATTTGGTTCTAATGTTGTCTATTGATTGTGAGCTTCCATTTTACCTTTATTAGAATTCTGCAGAGATTTCTGGTGACTGGACCCTGCTCTGGTGTGTGACCGTGTGGGAGTGGTGAACACCTTCTCACTCAGTGCATGTCCTCACCCACCTGGCAGGCCGAAAGAGCGAATGGTGACACCATCAGAAGGAAAAACTGACTTTTAGGAAGCGTTTAGAAGAAGTAGACGGAGCACAATGGCACATGCCTGCAATCCCAGTATTCAGGAGGCTGAGGGATAAGGATCAAAAGTCACAAGCCAGCTTGGGCTACATAGTAAAGCCTTGTCTCACAAAGCCAGGCAAGGACGAGGAAATATATGCTAGATTTTCTCCCTCAAGCCTAGGTAAAGAGTCAAAATTACAGTCTCCTTTGTCTTAACGCTTCAGCTGGAAGCTCTTTTGAAGACTGTTTAGATGTGGGTAAAGTGCTATTAAGAAAAGCTGATGAAAAGAGAAAAAACTACTGCTCACAAGTGAATTAGGACAAGCGTGAGTACAGAGGTAGTCGTAATGTAGATGAGTGTAGAGAGGGAGGGAAGAGGGGGAGGGAGGGAGAGATGGAGGGAGAGAGGAGGAAGGGAGGGAGGGAAAAGGGAAAGAGGGGAGGGAGGGAGGGAGGGAGGGAGGGGAGAGAAAGGGAGTAAGGGAGGGAGAGAGAGGGAGGGAGGGAGGGAGGGAGGGAGGGAGGGAGGGAGGGGAGAGAAAGGGAGGAATGGAGGGAGAGAGAGGGAGGGAGGGATGGAGGGAGAGGGAGGGAAAGATAGAGAGGGAGGGACAGAGACAGGGAGAGAGAGGGAGGGGAGGGAGAGAGAGGGAGGGAGAGGAGGGAGAGAGAAAGGGAGGGAGGGAAAGGGGAGGAAGAAGAGAGAGGGAGGGAAGGAGGGGAGGGAGGAAAGAGGAAGGAGAGAGAGAAAGAGGGGGGGGGGGTGGGAGATAGAGAGAGACAGAGAGAGAGGGAGGAAAGGTGTTCTGAGCCAGGTCAAGACCAGTAGACCTTCATCTGTCTTTTGTGGAACAGGTTCTATAACTGTCCCTCAGACAAACTAGGGGCTACATCGTGTTGATTCTCAGATGGCTCGCTAGTCTCTCCGCTGGTCCTTGAGGAAATAGTACCAGTTCTTACTCAGGGTTTGTGTCTGTCGCCAGCATTGTCATTTGCTCAGGGGGATCTAGTCAGAAGGGAGGCACTGTGGTGGGCTAGATCACTCAGGCAGGGACCAGCCTCTGTGTCCACACTGTCAGTCACTCCAGCCTTGACAGTCTTCACTGGAGCCACAGAACAGCAGGGGCCTCCTTGCCCCTCTTCCTGCATGGAGGTATTCCACGGATAGAAACTGATTGAGAATCTAACCTGATCTTTGCCTAAAACATATGAATTTGTTTGAAGGTAGGAAATGGTAATTATTTGTAAATCAGGGCCTCTAAGACTTATAATGCAACAGGCATTGATTTGTGTGTTTCTCCACTTCCAGCCCCTGGAGACCCGGCTCATTTCAGAGACCACAGCTGTTTGCAAACCAGAGCAGGTGGCCAAACAAATTGTCAAAGATGCCGTGGTGAGTAAAGCCCTGTGCTGTTTGTGTGTGTATGTTTTATTTCTGGAAAACACAGAGAGACTTAATTCAAACGAGAGCATCCAGCTTTTGGTCGGATTTGTCTACTCTTAGCCCCCACTGTCCTCCCCTTAGACTTTCTGTTGATTCCATATTAGCCCGAGGATGCGAGTCACCCGAGAACGTCAGCTCCTGGGAAGCGTGTGAACACAGCAGAAGCGTGTGAACACAGCAGAAGCGTGTTGCCACCCTTTTATTTGTGTTGCTTAGCATGCATGTGCGTGTGCGTGTGTGTGTGTGTGCGCGTGTGTGAATGTCACCTTCATACAGGGAGGGCTCTCCCTCCACCGCACGGGTTCAGGGGCTGAACTCAGGTCGTCAGTCTTGGTGCCCACCTTTGCCCAGTGAGCCTTGTCCTGGTTTTCTTTCCCTACCCCATAGTTTGAGATCTTCTAAGGCTGTGGCCAGGCTCACAATGCATGCTTCTTTCTCCTTCCCTGGTACCACGTTCCTCATGGTCATGATAAGAAGCCATGTCAGGCTGCTGGGCCCACTACCCCCTTGCTGTACCTCCTGACCCGATCAGTGTAAAGCACTGTAGAACACCATGTAGGTCACAGGTCTTTTGACAACATTCCCATTAATCCACCTATGAGAAAAGGTTCATCTGAGGGGTGCGCATGAACCCAGGAGGCCTACATGACTTTGGAAAATCTAGGGTTTGTTGCCATGAGGGGCATCCAGATAACCCAGTGCCGCTTCTAGGGGTGAAAGGACTGCTGTGCTAGCTGAGCGGGACAGAGTATCAGAGCCTCAGCCAGCAGACCAGAGCACTGAGTGGGACAGAGTATCAGCAGCCTCAGCCAGCAGACCAGAGCACTGAGGCAGCTCAGTGGGGAAAGGTGCCTGCCACCAGGCCTAATAACCCGAGTTCTTCAAAACCCAGTGGCGGAAGCAGAGAACCGACTCCTCAAGCCGTCCTCTGGCCTCTACATACATGCTTCAGTGCACACACACACACACACACACACACACACACACACACACACACACACAAAGACAGAATGGGGCTGGAGAAATGGCCCAGTAAGTTGTACAAAGAACCTGAGTTCAGATCCCCAGCACTGACATTAAAAGGCCAGTGTGGTTACACCTGTCTGTAACCCAAGCCCTGTGTTGGCAGAGTTTGCAGGCTAGCCAGCCTAGCCGGTTGTTGAGCCTACCCATGGTCATTTAGAGACCCTGAGGTAGACACCCAACATTGACCTCTAGTCCCTACACATAGGCACACATCCCATACACACACAGAGCGGGTAAAATAGTTGCCTTGGTTGCCTTCAGAGGCACAGAGCAGTGGAATAGGAAGCATGACTAGGATAAACTAGTTTGCTTTTCTCTCAAGCCAAAACAAGTACTCTCAAGGTATTTCCCCCCAAGATGAAAAAAGAAAAAGTGAGTGCCTGCAAGTGTGCATGTGTACAATGTGTGTGCCGTGCATGCCTGCAAGTGTGCATGTGTCCCATGTGTGCTGTGCAGTGCCTGCAAGTATGCATGTGTACTGTGTGTGTGCTGTGCAGTGTCTGCAAGTGTGCATGTGTACTGTGTTGAAATAGGAGCGGTGGGGCTGCGTCCCCAACACCCCAGCCGCTTGGCTAGCTCATGCCCGAAATAACAACACACAAACTGTATTCATTTAAGAACTGCTTGGCCCATGAATTCTAGCCCTTACAGGCTAATTCTCGCACCTGGACTAGCCCATTTCTAATGATGTGTGTAAGCACCCCAAGGTGCGCTTACCGGGAAGATTCTAGCCTCCGTCCATCCTGGTGTCTCTGCTCCAGAGAGCAGAGCTGTTGGGTCTCTCTGGGAGCAGAGCAGAGTCTGACCTCACTTCCTCTTCCGCCCAGAATTCTATTCTGTTTACTCCTCCCACCAATGCTTTAACCTATGAGGCCAAGCAGTGTGTTTATTACTTAACCAATGAAATCAACAGATTGATATATGACACTCCCACATCAGTACTGTGTGTGTGCTGTGCAGTGTCTGCAAGTGTGCATGTGTACCGTGTGTGTGCTATGCAGTACCTGCAAGTGTGCATGTGTACTGTGTATGTGTGCTGTGCAGTACCTGCAAGTGTGCATGTGTACCATGTGTGCTGTGCAGTGCCTGCAAGTATGCATGTGTACTGTGTGCTGTGCAGTGCCTGCAAGTGTGCATGTGTACCGTGTGTGTGTGCTGTGCAGTGCCTGGAAGTGTGCATGTGTACTGTGTGTGTACGTGTGAGTGCCTGCAAGTGTGCATGTGTACTGTGTTGTACATGTGAGTGTCTGTAAGTGTGCATGTGTACCGTGTGTGTGCTGTGCAGTGCCCAAATGGTCGGAAGAGGGCGTTGGTTTCCCTGTAACCAGAGTTATGGGAGCTTGTGTTGCCTCGTGTTGGTGCTGGAAGCTAAAGGATCGTATCCTCTGTAAGAGCAGCAAATGCTCTCCACCATCGAGCAAGCTTCCTCCCCGCTCCACCACCTGTGCTTTTAATGGCCCCATTATAGTTTATAAATTATTGACACCAAAAAACCCATATGTTTATCTGGGATATATTTGTCTTTTTCGTTTGTTGTTTTGAGACGGGTCTCACTGCATAGCTCTGGCTGTCCTAGAACTCACAATGTGGAACAGGCTGCCTTGAATTCAGATATGCTTGCCTCCCACGTGCTGGGATTACAAGTGCTGGTATGCACCATCACACCTGACAGGCCTGTGTTTCTCAATATTTGCCATAATAGATACTGAAAGTATAGTTTTTCAAATATTTAGTTGCAGGGCTGTGAAGAGAGATTCAAGGGTAAGTTCTTGCTTTGCATATGCGAAGCCCTGGATTCCATCACCGCACCACTAGAGAATGATGGGAGAGATTTAGTGATGAGATGAAGTGGAATGGAGAGTTGGCTCAGTGGTTAAGAGCACTTGTTCCTGCAAAGGACCTGGGTTGATTCCCTCCACTCACATGGAAGCTCACCACTTCCTAGATCACATGCGATACACAGACATACATGCAGGCAAACACACAGACACACACACACCAAATAAAACAGAATGTAAAAGAAAAGAATAATAGACTGCAACAGACATTAAATTCATTACATTTTTAAGCAGATTTATTTATGCGCAGTGCCTGCCATGGCCAGGAGAGAGCGCCATATCCTCTGGAACTGGAGTTCAGGCAGCTGTGTGCCTCCTTTTCTTTCAGTTTTATTTTGTGTGTGTGTGTCTGTGCATGCGCATGTGTGTGTGTGCATGTGTGAGTGTGCACGTGTGGGTGTGCACGTGTGAGTATGGAGGTTAGAGAACAACTTTGGGGAGTCAGTTCTTTTTTTACACAGAGTTCTGGGGTGGAGCTTACATCACCAGACTCATGTGCAAGAGCTTTTGTCCTCAGAGCTGTCCCTGTTCTTAGTTTCTTAAATACAGGGTTCCCGTGGCTTGCTGGCTTCAAACTCAGTATTCTACTGAGAATGACCTTGAACTGCTGACCCTTCTCCCATTTCTCAAGTGCTGATGTTACAGGCGTGCACTGCCATGCCTGGCTCAAAAATAACTGTTTTCAAACAAAAATTCAGTGCGAAGTGTGGTATTGTATTTTCACGAGCCTGTACAAGGTCTGCATTAATAAATGCCAGCTGGATTCTGGTGTCTGTTTCTGTTGCCAATCTGTTAAAATACATTCTTTTTGAAACGTTTGAAGAAAACCTGACTTTAAACAGATACGTAGTTGGGAGACAACGAAGTTTTTCAGATAATTGTCGATTGCGTTGGGTGGGTCACTCAGTCTAGGGGTTGTAACCCACCCTGCAATCAGTTATTCCAGGGTCACGGAGGGGCGCTATCTGGAAGAGAATGGGCTAGGAAATAAGGAGAAGGCCATGCTAAGTTTGTCACAGCCTTCGTTTATTAGGGACAGGTTACAGTTTATATAGATAGGGTAAGGAATGGGGGGGGCACAGGGGCCTGGACTCTTGTCACATGGTCCAGGTCACGTAGGCCAGGAGGTTACCTTTGGTCAGGTAGGCCAAGAAGTCACGAGTTGCCACACCTAGTTCCCTGGATAGCTGGAATGTGAGGCAGGTTCCACTAACAGATAACAGCTAATTGGGTGTGGGGCAGGTTTTGTCAGTAGAATGATTCTTAACATAATTATGGGTGTGGGGTTCTCTGCAGACTCCCCGAGGTGATGGTTCCTATAATGATTTTTGGGAGGGAAATGGCTCATGACAGATAATTATGGGCATAATTTTCTCTTTTTATATTTAACCCCCAACTTGACGAAGAGCAGTTTCTTAAAGGTTGCAGTGAGAAATCAGACGCTGCACCAATGAACTTTGTGTTCTCTTGGCGCTGACATCAGTCTCTGGTTTGTGCTTTGAATCTCTTACCCACTTATCGTTGTCATTTGGGAGATATGAATCACTAGGTTATCAAAAGTCACATTCATCGGAGATCTGGAAATATTAGGAACCCAGCAGTCTCACACACTGGTTGGTAAATTTTTCCCAAATTTTAATTTTTCCTTAAAAGCTCAGATTTTATCACCACCCACATGTGTACCTTATGGTTTTCCTGCAAGCCCCAAATTCACTTTGTTTTCTGCTCCGTTGTGCCATAAACCTGAGTTCAAATGCAGCCACTGGTCAACCATTGTCAAATAGGAGAGTAGTCTTTGGTCAGGAAGTTCATCTCCGAGCCGTGGCAAGAGGGCTTTTCTTCAAGGTGTCAGCCGTCCTTACTATTCCCAGCTTAAGCATTTACCACATGCAGAGTGGTGTGTGATAAATGTATTCCTTGTCCTCTAGGGGATGATCCAAGACCAGCCAATGTCAGATGGTACTGATGGCTGTGTCTGCTGTGTGTGTCCCCATACACTCCCATGCAGAAGCTTAGCTGGGGATTGTAGCTCAGTTGGCAGAGTGGTAACCTCGCATGCATGAAGCCTTGCTTCTATCCCGAGTACCACATAACCTGAGGGTGATGATATACATCTGCAATCCCAGTATTTGGGAGGTAGAGGCAAGAGGATCAGAGATTCACGGTCATCTTCAGTTACATTGTGGGCTCACAGGGCAGCCTGAGACTTAATGGATTAAGTAAGCCCTTGGCTATACCGATTAAAAAGAAGTGACACATATTCCAGGTGGGACAGAGCCGGACAGCCCAAGGTGCCAGTGTGCCGTGCAGACAGCATGCAGTTTAACACTTAGGAATCTCTTTCTGGGATTTCCACTTGGCTTTTGTCAGTACAGGAAGCTGGGGGCACGGGGGTTGTATGGAAGAGAGCTGTCTCCAAAGGTTACTGTTTAATAAGATGCTGAACTTTCTTGTTTTATCAAGTGTTTTTAAGTACAATGCCTCTTTCTGGTTCTTAAAGACTTGTTTCTATTGTGTTTTCTTTGTCTGTGTCTTTGTCCCTGTAGTAGAGTGGCAGTGACTGAATTGGGGCCATTAGCCCACACTCACAGAAAACCACTGGTTTGTCCTGGGGCAGATTGCCCTTCAGTACAAACGTCAGTGGTGGAGACCAGCTAAATGTCCAAATATTATTTGGCAGTTGCATTGTCCCTAGACCCTTTCCGGGTCTGTGGACTTACATTTCAGAACTGGGCATGCACTGAGTCTGTGTGTCCATTCTTTAGTTCTGGTTTTCTCAGTCACTATCCTACCCCACGTAAGCGAGGGGCAGACTCCATTGCTTCTCCAGCACTGAACTGATTCCTTTAACTTACTCCATACCCCTCATTTTCTCTTGCTTCTTTTTTTAGCAGGGAAATTTTAATAGTTCCATTGGCTCCGATGGGTATATGCTCTCTTCCCTGACCTGTGGAATGGCCCCAGTGACTTCCATCACTGAAGGACTCCAGCAGGTAAGCCCTTCCTTAGCCAGCAACCAGACAGACACACAGCCAGGTAGACTAACAGCACAGATGAACGGACAATACAAGGATTACCTCTCCAGCTTCTGTGAGCAGAGTGCAATAGTTTTAATGCAAAGTTTCGTTTTCTTCTCTGCCAACTGTAAGTAAACAGGAAGTAGGGTAGGGGTATATATTGGTTAAAGTGAGGTACTGGGCCCCGCAGGTGGCTGAAGGATCACCTCTGTTGGGTGGTCACCTGTGTTTTCAGTAAAGAGCCCTTGTTGTACTGTGTTTGAAAAGGAGTACTTGGTCTAGGATTATGTAGACCTGTCCACAATGAGAGGCTAGCTTAGAATCCCTCTTCTAGTGATCTAGCCACTGGTGGCTGAAGGAGATTCTAGGAGAGCATTCTACACACTTTGCCCTCACGGAATTTATAGTTTCATCCAGGATACATGAGAATTCCAGGTCTTAGTATTTAATTTTTAAATTTTAAGTGTGCATAAGTGGTTCACTTACATGTATGTCTGTGCACCACATGTATGCAGTGCCCATGGAGCTTCCTTGAAACAAGTAGAGTTATAAGATGCCATCTAGGTGCTGAGAACCAGGGAGAGCAGCACTGCTGTCCATCTCTCCAGGGCTGAAAGTTCGCTTCTGTTGATAAGGCTCTGTCTTGCCCAGGTGGCAAGGTATAAGAGGGTCATAACCTTTACAGAGTTTGCCATGTTGCGGGTGTGACTTCTGGGTGAGGTAATGGTGACCACAGACGTGTGGTTAGAGCTCTAACTGGAGGGATGTGTGGGGCACAGAACCAAGCATCTTTGTCAACAAAGCATTGGATCTGTAGGCGTTTGTGTAAGGTGCATTCATGTAGCTCCCTAGTTTTCCCTCAGGCATTTCCTTCCCTTCTGTCTATCACACTCTGAACTGCACCAGCTGTCATAGGATTGCCTGACAGTGAACATTGTTAGGTAGAAGATCTGCAGGGACAGGGCCTACGTCGCTCTTGTTTGTCATTGTACCCCAGCAGCTAGGACTACACAAACAGGGTTCGAGGATGCCCTGGATGGATGGGAACTCAAAGTCTGCAGTAGTTCATCTGTCTGCAGGTAGTCTAGTCTCACACTGCAGGTACTGCACCTGTCTGCAGGTAGTCTAGTCTCACGCTGCACTACTGCACCTGTCTGCAGGTAGTCTAGTCTCACACTGCAGGTACTGCACCTGTCTGCAGGTAGTCTAGTCTCACACTGCATGACTGCACCTGTCTGCAGGTAGTCTAGTCTCACACTGCACTACTGCACCTGTCTGTAGGTAGTCTAGTCTCACGCTGCACTACTGCACCTGTCTGCAGGTAGTCTAGTCTCACACTGCATTATATTCACATTCCAACCTTTCGTTGGTTTGTTTTTGTTTGTTGAGACTAGCTGTCCTGGTATTTGCTCTATAGACCAGGCTGGCCTCGAACTCACAGAGATCTGGAGTGCTGGGATTAAAGGCGTGTGCCACCACCACCAGCCCAACTTTTTTAAAAATCAATTTCTTTTACAAATTCTCCCTGGCAAGTAACTAGACATTCCAGTTTGAAAAGCCCTTCGGATTCCTGCACCACATCTCCAGCCTCAGCTCTCTCTAGTGTGCTCACGCTGATGGCTGCTCGTGCCCTCGTGCCCAGCCAGAGACCGGGCTGTGACCCATGACTCCTCCACTTCTGCCTTTCCCGTCAGGGTCCCTGTCATCACCTCAGCACTGTCCCACTTTCTGCAGCTCTGATGGTCCCAGAGCTGAGACCAAGATCACTGCCTCTGACCTGAGTCAGGTTTGTAGTGAGCTGGAGTGTGTACATGGGAGCCTGTGGGCATGGAGAGGGATGCTGTAGTGGACTCCCTAGTCCTGGCTAGCCTGGAACTGCTATGTAGTCTAAACAGGCATTAGGCTCACACTGACCCCCCAGCCCATCCGTCTACCCTCCCTAGACTAGGATTATGGGTATAAGGCACCACACTCCATGAGTGTGTATATTTAAATAAAATTATTTCAAAATCAGATATCGGAAAATAGAAATTCCAGATTTGAGACGTTTCTTGGGACATTAAGAGGTCTAGAGCAGCAGACTACTTTCCCTGTGGGAAAAGACGGCAGTCACTCCCAGAGCACAGAGCACAGCCCTGCCCCAGTCCCTGCCACCTCAGCACCTTGTCCAGGCCACTGGAATACATACCAGTGATGTCACAGTTTCTACGCTGTGCTTGCACAATGCGGCTGCTCACCTGCGTTCCCGGATGAAGCCTGCCAGCGAGCTGACTGAATTCTCCCTTTCCGAAGTCTCTTGTTCTCTCTGTCCGCATCCTCAGGATTCTGTTGGCTCAGATCTTGAGGTTCCCTTTGACTAGAGAACTAACTGCAGGCCTGTGTCAGAGCCTGGATCTACTCTTGTTTCAGCCTTATGGGTTGTGTTGTGATTTTTTTTTTTTTTTTTTTTGAGGTCTACTCCTCCCTGGCCTTCAGTTTGGTGTCTTATTTTAAATAACAGACCTTGGTTCCTGGCCACCAGAGCCCAGGTCCCCAGGTCCTGACGTTAGTGGGGCACCCGTGTTTCAGGCTCACAGTTCACACTCTGCTTCTGTGAGGTGTGTACCACCACCCAGGGCCACATGGGATCATTTCACTGTCCTGAAATTCTCCTGAGAGATACCTATTTTATCCTCCTGAGCCCTGGCTGCTGGTCATGGTTTTACTTAGGTTTCCCTTTACCAGCTTCCTTGCCTGCACTCACTCAGAGACTCAGATACCAAGGCTTTGGGAGACAATTGCTCCTCGCAGCTTCTCTTTGTGGCTGGTTCTGAGGCAGTCACTCCTCTCAGCAAAGCCTGCACTGTGTGTCCCGCTGTTTGGTTCGGCTGCTGCTGCTTTTCTTACTTGGTGCATCCTGTTGTTGTGATTAGCATGGAGGAGGCGCTAGTTCTCCCACATGCTCCCCCTCCCCACGCTCATTCCATTAGATTAGCTCTGCTCATTATGGTTAGGTTTGTATCTGAGAAAAATTCTTTGTCTTGCTATTTTTTGTCTTTTTCTGTTATTCCCTCCTATACACTAGAGTTCTTGAAATGATGACCTGGAGCTTCTGGTCCTTTTGCCTCTTCTGCAAGTGCTGTGATTGCAGGTGGATACCACCAGGCCCATTTTATGTGGTGCGGGGGATGGGAGCCAGAACTTCATACATGCTAGGAACACACTTCACTGGCTGGACCACATCCCTAGTCTGCGGATTCATTGTAAATTCATTACTGGCCTTGCCAGTCTCTCTTGAGATATTTACAAATTCACCAGGTCACATGACACTCTTACTGTGATGACCCTCACTTTCTGTATCTCATTCTTCTCGGAAAAGGATACCTGGGAGACAATGGTTATAGTCCTTGCATATCTGAAAATGTGTGTCTTTCTGCAATACCATTTGGAGTTGTGTTAGCGAGAGGTCATGGATAATTGCAGTCTTGCCCCCGAGACAGTGATTGCTATCTGACTTGTGTTTCCCTCACAAGCCGGGTGTGTGCCCACCTGTGGTCACAGCCACTTAGAAGGCTGAAGCCAGAGGATCACTGGAGACCAGGAGCTGGGACCAGTCTACCCAACATGGCAAGACTTTGTCTCCAAACATGCCAGTTCAGAGAGTAGAGGACTCTTTATTTCTCCCACTAGCGTCCTCAGCACCCAGCCAAAGGGCTTAGTACTTACAACCTAAGTCCTAGCCAAAGCGGTTTGATGTAGAATGTCTGTCTGAAGAGCTGGACACCATGCCTAGGACTGACAACCCTGTTTTCTAAGAGTACATGTTTTGTTCTCTTCATGGTTTCAGTTTTTAATTCAGACAAATATTGCCGTTTATCTAGCAGGTTCGATGTCATCTGGCACACAAAGTATTCTGTTCTTGAAAATCACTGGCATTTACGAAGTTTTCATTATACTTGTTCTTGGAGCAGATTGGATGTGTCCTAGAAACTGTTTGGTAGAGACATAACTACTTTAAAATGGGCTGTTGTGCTGTCCTGTTGGGTGAGCTGAAAGGTCTCCTTTATCTTGCAGGTGGTCACCATGGGCCTTTTCCGAACCATTGCTTTATTTTACCTTGGAAGTTTTGATAACATAGTTCGCCGCTGCATGGTGCAGAAGGCAGAATCCGAAACTGTAGACAAAACTGCCTAATTCTTGCCCCTCGGACAAGAGACTGTATCCAGTGATTTGACAGCTTGCTGCTAATGGAACTCGATCTTTGGCCTCCTGACTCTTGTGTCTTGTTTTTGTATGTGTGAGACTAGACCCAGTGCTCTTCAGACATCTGACTGCAGGCAAAGGGACAGAGGTCGTCTCTACAATATTACTGTTAACACTATGCAAATGTGGACCAGGGCACCACTTGGTTTCTGGGCTTTGAGGCAAAGTGGTGGTCGCGTGGTCAGTAGTGTCAGGAGAACAGGGTAAAGGACAGAACCCCAGAATGGGAAATCCAGTTTTTCATTGATCCTCCCCTCCTGCCCATAGAGATTAAGAATTGTACTTGGTGGCACACAAGAACTTTTGAGGGTTTCTTTTGATTTTTGGTTTTATTTTTTCATGAAAAAATGGTGTCTGGGTTTTTATAAGTTTTTTTTGTTTGGTTTTTGGTTTTTAATTTTTTCAGTGTATGTTATTCAAGGTGTGACTTCCTCAAAGCAGTGAGCCTGACCGTCAGCTCCTCTGTGCCTGTTGGGAACTCCTGCTCGTGAAGCTGGCGTCTCTCTCTCTTTGATCCCTACAATATGGGGGATGAGAGAGCGGTGCAGAGGAAGGCAAGAGGCAGAGCCCTTCGCATAGGCAGATGGGGGCTTTCTTGTCTTCTTAAGACTAATACGTAGAACATTTTCATTTTTATTCATGGGGAAACACAGCTTTCTTACATGTTTTCTGAATAGAAATAAAATCTCCTAGAAGCTTGAAAGTTTACAGTTTCTTCAATAGCCGTGATGACG